GACTTTATGATACAGCGCGCGCGCACGCTAACTATTCAGCCACCCAACCCCCCAAAGTTAACTACTTTTGAAATTCGACAGTAATTTACAGTCTATCTACAGTTTGTAAAACGTGACAATTGCCGTTGGTTGAGTCGTACCTTATATTGCTATGCTCTGTCTAATCATATTAAAAATATTAATTATGTTTTGTAAATTCCCGAAGAACGCCCACAAATTTCATGTGTGACAATTCTCAATAGTTTCTGTCATACAAAATACTGCAATTTGGCACCGTCTCTGGCCGTAGGAGATGTTTAGGGGGAATAGTGAGGATCTTGACCTCAGGGAGACCAAGTGTTTTAAAAACATTACATAAGCCATTTGAGGGGAGAATAGGCCTTGTGCACTAGTAGTACTTTAGTTGTAGGCCGAATGGTGTCATTAAAGTCAATGACTTCAACGTCATTATGTATGTAGGCCTACTTCTAGTTAGCCTGGATAACCTAGTCTAAATGACGCCAGGCTTCTATAGTCTATTAAATATACATTTCTATGGACTTGCATATGTATAGATACATATATCCAAGTCCATAGACGTCATGGGTGGAAAATCGTGTTTCATGTGTTGATGTCTGTTTACTTTTTTCCTTTTAGAAGGGGAGATAACTACAAACTCGTTTCTTGTCGCTCGGGTTATGCCACATAGGATAATCGAGACACTATAGCAACAATGGGCCACGAGGTATTTCTGGTCACTCGAGTCTAATAATAGCTGTCATAGGCTGACTTTATACTGAATCTGGATAATCAAGACACTATTACGACGATGGGCCACGTGCATAGATTTATAATAAACACATGGCCACGTGCAGAATTCTTTTTTGATTTTTTCTATTTCACGTATTTTTTTTTTTTAATTGAAATGTTATTTTTTTTATAGATTTTTTTAATCTTAAATATTTTATTAATTTTTTTTTATAGATTTTTTTGGTATTTAAAAAAGATTTTTTTTTTTTTTTTTAAATTTTAAAAAGATTTTTTTTATTTTGTAAAACAAAAGAAAAAAAATGTTTCTTTTTTTTTACTTTTATTTTTTATTATTTTAAATGAAATACAAAAAATAACCCCAAGAACGCTATTGCGATCATGGGCCACCATATACATCTATTGTTTTAGTGAATATAACATTGAGTGTGTTTTAAAAATATTTAAATACTTCCGTTTATTTTTCAATTTGAAGCATTTGGTAAGAAAACGTCATCATTAAACCATGGCACGATGGAATCACATTAAGGCCGCGGTCAACTTTTATATAATTTTAACAAACAGTTATTAAAACATGTATGCAAGAAACGTTTAATCCAACAGAAACACGCAAATGATCATCATGTATTTCGGATCTGTTGCTAGTGTTATTGGAGACGTACGAAGTCATTATCCCCTCTGTTAGCGTTTTGTTGGATTGATTGTCAAATATAATAAAAATATCTTATTATTCGTATAAAACGTTATGATAATTTGTAGGGTGTAGCATACTATGTCCTATATTTTCTTAATAATTAAATAGTGTAAAACTCCAGATATTCAACAAACTTGGAATATTTCTTCAATTCTTTAATGCCGGCAAATATGTAACATAATAGGCGACACCTTACTAACTGATCATATACCACACAGTAAGCCAATCTTAACTCCTCTGACCAAGATATGATCCGTTATTTAAAACAAAAGTGAAAAATGGGACATTAATCAAGATAACAAATAAAAACGACATTCGAGATTGAGGAACTGTGTATACCCTAGATTAAAACAAAGAATCGGTCTATACACAATAGATTAAAACAATGAAATGATTAATATCAGTCCGTGCATCTATCATAGCCGGACATTAACAGATTTATGAGCTGTTATCCAGTCTCACTTACAAGCGACTATAAAGTGGATGAAATGAAATGAAATGGGATTTAACGTCCTACTGTTTTGCTATAAAGTGGATATCACACTGCGATAATAAGGCCGAACATAATAAAGCCGAACATAATATTATGATCAAATAGTCAACTGCCCGTTTATTTTTTCTCTAAAGATGATAATTTTAAGTTAAAAACATTTCACAACAATTTGATCGTCGGTAATGTTGAGTGGGGGCCTTAAAGTCCCATTGCGTTATTTTAGAGCAAAGGGAATCCTTTGCAAGCTACAAACAATATTGTTTTAATCCGGTTCAGTATATACAAAGATATGTTGAATTCAAATTAAATCGATTTATACTGCTCGCTATGTAATAAGCCCGTCGTCATTTTGTTGTGGGAGAATAGAATCAATGGGCCTATCTTAAGTTATCCAGGGTTAGTATTTTAATTCCGTTTTCTTGATTAAATATTAAATAACCAATCTGAGTACACATTAATAATTAGCATGGATTAAGCCCCGAGACATATGATATTATTGCGACAGATGCAAATGACGCATCGTTATTTAAGGTGTCTAAAAATTGCAATCTTATTTGTTATTTTTTAAATAAATTCTGGCGAAACTTTTGGACAGTCTAATGTTTGCACGAATGATTAGTTTCAGGAAATATGCAGGAAAAAAACTGAACAAAAATAGACCAAAGAAGCAACTTAGTGGTCAGTGGTTGTATGAGTTGGCGACGTGGCTTTAGGGAAGTCGGCAGCCGGCTTTAGCAATCACATTTTTGAAAATGAAAGGGCTGACATATCTGGTCTCCAATAGGCTGAAGTAGACTTAATTATAATACGTAGGCCTGAAAAATATGTAGGCCTAAATAGATAATAAATGCAACTCTAAATCAAAGAATTATACTAATAGTAAAATAATGGGTGGTTGAAAATCTCTCTAAACTTTAAAATAAGATGGGTTTTTCATCTAGCGATTAGTTTCAATGGAGTGCTTGACTCATAAAACCAAACTTGCCTTCTTAACACGAATAGATAATTGGTTATTAAAGATGCATTATGTAAGAGCTAAATCTTGCAGGTCTTTATTTTGGCTTCAAGTGTTATATAACTTATCACTTTAAACTATGTATTTATATGGAAAGCCTATAATCAACTCTCAAGAACTTCGGGTGGGTGAGATTAAAAATGGATTTAAACATCCGCGAGATTTTAAAATATAACTATAATTTCGCTCAGAATAACTTAATTTTAAAGAAATTTTCAATATATTCATTTTTGTTGGAACAGGAACTGGTCGCTAACCGCAACTCATCTTGTTGCTGTTCTTCTTCTTGTTGGGTGACGCTCTTCGAAATAGCCCAAGACTCCGTCAATTCAAACTCGATCAACATGAAAATTGACATACTTCTTTTTTGAAGAATTCTGGATCGATTTGGTGAATAAGATTTTTGAACTACATCCAACAACTTGGCCAGTTCCTGGTCCATAGTACGATCGTACTTGTTTATTATCTTTTTTGAATGTTATAACAAGAACAGCCAGCTTTTATCTAAATCTTACATAATGCAAGTTTAAGCAAAGCAAAGAATAGCCATTACAGTAAAAATAGACTGTTTACTGTCTTCCTTAAATTATTAATGCGTGTACTTTAATATATATATATAGTTTCTAATTTCAACCATTTTAACGACGTGATGTTACATTTGTAAGATTTTGAATGACTGTTTCACCAGATTGTTGCAAACCGATATAGTCATGTAATGTCTCAGATTTAAAATGATTTTCAGATGTGTCTGCCGTAGTGTCAATCATTACGGATAGCTAGGCCCAAAATGTGATTTTGTCAGCTGAAGTCCAGTCAGTATCAAATGGGTGGTTGGTTTACATTATATATCTACAGGAGATATACCTGTCAATTATTGTGAATAGCTCCGTCCAAAATGAAATTTTTACTGCTGAATTCCAGTCAATCATAAATGATGAAATCCAGATGGCTGATTAAGATTTTGCATGAGACATGTCTACTGTTGGTTAGATGGGTTAATAAAATTCCAACAGTAGAGAAAGGGATTGGTGAAAACGATGACTTTCCAACATAAAAGGTCACCAAGTTTTACGAGGTGACTCTGACACTGACCCGTTTATGTCATCAAAAAACATTATTGTTATTATTATTATTATTTATACAGGTCAAGTGACATCTTGTCAATGGCTTTAACCGACATTTTATGGCAGGCGTAGTCAGTTTCTTATTATTCATACCGGTAGTAAAACACAATGGGACATCATTTATGCTGCACGTATTTCTTATGAAAAACTGTGTCGGAGAAATATATCGTCCCTTGACTTCAGCTTACCTATGAGTTTATAGTTCAAGATCATTTAAAAAAGAAACTCTGAATTTAATTTATAATTTCTAATCATCATTTCAGAAAGTCTATGCGTAAATGAAATGATTTGTGTTACCTAAGGTAAACGTAGATTTCGGCGCCTCTAGTCTATGCTTGCTTTTGATTCAAGCAGCCCCCCCCCCTTTCTTCTATTAGTAATATACAGCATATTTTCTAAATAATTATTACTGTATATTATTTGGTTGTTCAGGATAATAATATTACACTTTCCTTTGGCCTTTTTACTGTGTTTTATTTAATTATTTTTTAAAATTATTACTGCATATTTGGTTGTCCAGAATGATAACGTTACACCTTCCTTTGGCCTTTTTACTTAATTTTACTTTTTATTTAATTACTTTTTAGGATGATAAAATTACAATATCTCTTATGCTGTTATTTCATGATGTTAAGTTACAACATCGTATTTATATGTTTTTTGTTCAAGATGAGAAAGTTACAACATCTTATTTATCTGAAACTATTTTTTATGTTGTTATTTCAGGATGATAAAGTTACAACATTATGTGTGCCTGGTACTGTCTCTTTATTTTATTACCTATACTGCCGGACTAGAGAAGGGGTATGTACCGGCTTATGATCCTCTGTGTAATATCGGATATGCTCAAGAGAGGTATATGGCCGTTACCTGGGATTGTACTGGATGGATTGACTGTATTCCCAAAATTGACGGAGGTTTCGCTGCAGTTTGGACCCGTTGTCCTCCAACCCTTAGTTTTAGTGCACTTAGCAGGAATTGTGTAGCCAAGACCCTTTGTCCAGACCAAAAGAGTAAGTATCCCAATCAATTTCTTGGGTATATTTCTAAAGCAGACAAATGCGAGTTGATCAATTGTAAATATCAATTTAATAAAAACTAGATATCATAAAGACATCTACTTCTGAGCCTGTGGCGTGAGGGTATAGTACCCTTGACCATGATAAGCCGACCAAAGCTTTTTAAATGGTTCGCGCCATTTCTGTGTCCTGAAGTCAACCAGTAACCGTACGCACACTACTAAACATGCCAGATAAACAAACTATTTGACCTATTTCTTGGCATTTTGGCATTTGTATATTTAAACCCACTTTTATTAAACATACATTATGCAAGAGCTAAATCTGCCTATTGTAGGTCTTTCTATATAGACCTGAAATGTTATCTCAATTATTTATAAAACACCAATTAGCTTATCAAGACCATAATCAACTCTCAATGCCATCGTTAACCTGCCATATTTAGTGGATTTGAATACCTTTTATGACGGATGATTTTACGTAAAAATGGATAGCTCGCGTGGTTCAGAGTGAAGCAATTTGACTGAAATCTTCAGCATATATTGTTTTCATTATCTATTATTTAACTATTATAGCGAGAACTGCCAGCTCTTTGTCCAATCTTCCATAATGCCCCTTTAATAAAAAAATGCTAGTTACACTGTCAAATCTAGAATTTCTCCGCATTTGTTAAAATGGACAATGCAGTTTGCTGTGTCATACATTTAATAGATTATAATACAATGTCCATGAACGCACTGGAAAAATAAAGCAATTTCTGAAAACATCTCGATTTGAATGTGGTATCGTGTATATCAAATGGCCTGTTTGAATTGGATGAAAAATGCAAATTAGATTTTTTCTTGATCCACTTTTTATTTCAACATTTCACAAAAATCAACATTAACAAATAGCAGACTATTATATTATATTTTTTGTGCCATTTTAAATTTCATTTGTTTGCCCTATTTTACCGTAGTCCAAAGATAGTTCTTAGTAGTGCGCGCGATTGCTCCACTCCAAATCAACCTTCTAATCAAAACCCGTGCAAAGGAAAATTCAGCAAAATCCAAACTGTTGATGGCCTGACTAATCAAACGTACTATTACGTTGTTTCCCAAGTCCCAGAACGCCCTTTTCACAAACTCGTCTTTAGATGTTGATGTGGCGAAAATAACATTTGAAATCCATCTCGCATTATCTGATATATTTGTCAATTAACGGAAATGACATGGGTTTCCCACAACAACTATATACCCAATTGCATGATCATATTATATGTATACAAATCAATCATCATTAGACATATTTCCGATAGTTTTGATCGGACACCAATTTCATTAGCCCAGTTTAGAGCAGAACAGTAAGACGTTAAACCCCATTTCATTTCATTTGAAGTCTGTTTAGCAATCCAATCTTAAACCAAATATATATATATATATATATATATATATATATACATCAATGTCTACCTATAGCTTTTGGTGATTCCATGGACATTTTTGGTTATCATCCCCAATTTAACGGTCTCGCCGTTATTACCATAATGTTGTGTTCATTTCTGAATTTCTTATTTCAGCAACGTCAGTGGCTTTTTGTCAATCAGGTATGAGCTCTAACATGGCATTCAAACATCCCGATAGTTGTGCCATGTTTTATCAATGTAACAATACCAAACCACATACAAATCTGAGAGTCTATGAGAATGAATGCGGGGCTGGCTTCTTGTTTGACGAAAGAGATGCTATCTGTAAGCCAGCTGATCAAGTAAGATGTGGAGATAGAGTTATACCTTCAGGCACCTGTAAGTATACATATTACTAACACAAAAATGAAATCAGGTTTAAAGCCAATGAATACGTGACCATCAGCGGTGCTACGGCCTGCTCTTATTTCGAATTCCAACTGGCATCTGTTAATTTACGTCCACGCAGAACAACTAGACATTGTTCTTAGCTTAGACCCGTCGACATGCATCACTGGCAAGTGGAAACCAAGCCGGAAAATCCCTAGGTATTTCTCAGTTAACACGGCCGCTATTATTTTCTCTTTTATCAAATTCCGAGAAAGGACTATAATGAATAGAAGCTCTACTAGCGGAAGGACCTGATTGTTAAATTTAGAATTACACTACCTGAGCACAGGAATTTTAATGTATATGTATAATTATACAAGCTGAGAAAATTATAAAGGGGAGATAAATCTGTTTAAAATCTGGAATTCAACTAATAATTCGCTCCTCATTGCCTCAATGTCTCAGCCATCTGATAAACTATTTTTTTCCTTTTGGTGATTTCCCTATTTTTTTCTGTTTATTTCCTGACCACCCCCACCCCCACCTCCAAAACATGACTATTCACCAAACCCTGACAGAAGATGCGAATTCAAACACCTCTTCTTCGATTCTAGAACAAAATGTCAACAAATATTGCCATACAAAAGCGGGGAACGCGTAAATAGAAAGAATTGCTAGGAATAGACGAACTACATTATAAGACTTAGTCCAGGAGCTTAGAAATCAGGATAAACAATTACTTGTCTTACTCCAGGGGCCATGAAATCAGGGAAACAAATACCTCAGCATTCTATATAAACAGCTAAATATGTACTTCCTTTTCTTTGATCGTAGGCGGCTACAGAAAACTCTGTAAACTACCAGAATGCCAGGGTGCACCAAATGGTTATTATGCTTTAAAAGACGCACCCTTTACGTCCGAATATTATGAGTGTATAACGGGACAGTTCGTTGCTATAAGAAAATGTACTGGAGCTGGAGAGATATTCGATCCTATAAACAAGAACTGTTCCATCGGTATCGTACCAAGTAAGTATTTATTTAAGGACATGATTCTGTCTTTATAAGGGGGGGGGGGCGAATGGTTAGCGTGTGCGCGCTGCATCATAAGGTCTGCCATTTAGTCAACTGGCGTGGTTACGTTTCTTTCCCCGTTTGTAGTGACAAGGAGTAGAGTCGCCTGTCCAACCTCGTGGGTTTTCTCCGGGTCCCCCGGTTTGCTCCCACTGCTAAAGACCCTTACGCACAAGCGAATTATTGAAATAAAATTGAACCATATGTTAGTCCCGAAATGACCTAGTCTCTCTCTCTCTCTCTCTCCCTCTCTCTCTCTCTTTTTATACATGTAAAGTCAGAGGTTTAAATACATTACTACAAAATCTTGTCATATTTAAGCCCCAAATGAGAAGTCGTACCAGGTGTTCCGTTTATAATATTTTACATTTTGTCAGCATAGACACCTCACGTATCCATATCCAATCCCAGCTTATATTTTCAGGAATAAAAGGTATATGACAATATATATTTTTTTATTTTGCGTTATTTTAACAAAATACATACACGTAATATATCTTATATACGCTAATTGTAATTGTTCATTTTCGCGTGGCGAGGTTTCCTTATATGGCCTAAACGCTGTGTAACATTTTTGAAAATCGACTTGACCTCATCTCTGAATTTTCGGTTGTAGCAGCCATATAAAATAGGGTTAGCGGCACTACTTAATAAATTCGATCGGATCACTGTACCTATTATACTCTCTGAAACACGAGACGGTCTCAGTTGAAATCCGGCTTGAATATAAATCATCAAACATAAATGTGGAACATAACATAAAAAGAATATAAGCGTCATAATAATTAACATTTTGATTGGTGTTAATTTATTAAACGCTTTATTGTCTAGTTGAGAAATGGCACTGATATTTCGTTCCTTTGTCGCACGTGGTTGCACCTTACCGCTGGGTGTATTTGCAGTTACTGTCGTATACACTGGACAATAAGATGATTCACTTTTGTAAACTGGTTGCTGGTTGGCATTGTCAATCGTATCGTTTTTTAAAGTTTTACTTGATGACGATGAAATGCTGTTCATTTCAACTGTCAATATATAAATTTCACTTGTAATTGTACTAGTACTAGTTGACAGAGTCGAATCTTCACTTTCAAATCTGTTACGTGATACATGTTTGTTCATAGCCGATGGACCATATTTATTCCGTTTCCATAGCAATTTACCTATGAAACTGTACAACACGATGATGCTTATAAAAGCAACAGCGAAAACACAGAACTCAAATCCGAGGTACAGCATTGGGTAAACTGTTTCTTCAGAATCCTTATCATTATCGCAGTTCACTACATACAAATTACCTTCGAGATTTTCATGGGAGTTCACCACAACTATACCCGTAGGAGCCGAAGTCAGAATTGATGTGAAGAAAATCACAGTTACCAAAACCCGAGCACGAAACACACTGATGGATGGTTTTAGTGGTTGGCACACGGCTCGATATCTGAGTGCTGCTATAGCTAGCAAAGCCATCCCCGTCGCCCATGCTGTAAACGTAGCCAGTGTAAAGATAATCCAACATCCCCTGAACTCGACTGGATACGTCATATTACTTATTTCTAAAGGCATATCAAAAACACAGAATATTAGATTTATAACCCCGAGGAATAGGATAATGATATTGAAGGCGGATGGTTTAAAGCGAAATCCGTATATATATACCACAACTGCGTTTCCAATTAACCCAATGCTCAAAATTATTCCGATATAAGATGCAGTAACTCTGTTGACGAAACGTTGTCTGGGAACTTCCGGTACACCAGTCGTGCTCATGTCCTTGAGTTCCAGTGTGGTATTGATATACGACGTCATTATATTATTAGAATTCTGAATTTATTACTATTGTAACAGAGTAGTATAGAGTTGTGGCTGTATCTGCTTACTAAATGTAACCATAGTTTGCAATCAGCTACAGTAGTATACACCACCTAATTTCAAGCATTTTGGTAAGTAGGCCTACAAACTTACTACAAAATATTACACTCATTTGTACACTATAGATATAGAAGTCTGAAATGAAAAATAATACAAAGTACATATTGATATTCAATTTCAATGTCAATGACACGAGTATATTTGTTTAGACATATGGATATTAATGTCTTTCTGATATACCCATTATGTGATCGAAAAGGTTAAACAGATTCTGGATATAATTTTAACATTGGGGTCTTGGCTATACATGTACTTCATACCTGACGATGATTTGGCTAAAATTCCTTACGTTAATCTGTCAGTTGACCATAACAGTTAAAAACAGGATAGTATTATAGATAGTGATAGAACAAGGCAGTGTAGTACAAGACAGTATAGTATTATAAATCGTGATAATATCACTTAATCGGAATTGATAACTTGCAAGCATTTCGCCCATTGCTGCTATGTCAATCCGTCACTAAAGACAAGTGTTCATCTCCGATCTGTATGTGACAAGGAGTAGAGTCGCCTATTGAACATAATTCTAATTGAAGCCATGATAAATGAAATGAAATGACGTTTAACGTCCAACTGTTCTGCCCCTACTGGAGTAATGAAGACGGGGAGGTCATGATAAACGCCCTTCAATAAACACGTTTACCTCTCACATAATGCCTCTGGCGTATGGCTCTATTCTTTGTAACCTTAAATAGGCGACAGTGGATCTAAAAGCACACATTAAAATGAATGTATATAAAGTGATTTATATTCAATTTGTTGGGTGAAATACGTATACAATCCAAATTGAACGACAGTTGTTTATAGCCGCTTAACCCATTCTACACGTGTTTGTCGTTTGTGAATCAGCCATTACTAATTATTTTCCCATTGCCTTGTAGGATATAGTTTTCTTTATTCATTACAAATAAATAATAAGCTATCGTTTTAACTTGATAAGGAGTAATAATAATAAAAAAAACACCCGTGATATTAGAATGAGTAATTGTCACACTGATAACCGTGACTCGTCAAATTCCGTTATGTGGATCAAAATTTCAACATATTATCTAAATATATTTAGCAATAGATAACAAGTGGTTGCCATGCAACACACGCCCATATTTTGAAAGAGAGGGAAGGAAAATAAGGAAAATCGATAGGGTTAATCCTCTCATTTTTCCAGTGATTTGCATTGCCCCAAAGCTTCACATTGAATATGAGAAAACAAGCTGTAAAAAAACCTGTAGCATATATCCAGTTCTGAAACAGAAACTTCCTGAATATCGATGAGGTTTGTTATTTCATGATCCCAATGCTTTACACCAAAAACAAAAATTGAAAGAAAATCTGTTAAAAACTATAATAGCATCTATTGCTTTGACAAGGTTTTCGGCAAAGGGAATAAGGTTGCGGAATGCTGATAATCGACAGATGGACCAGCAGAGAATTATGACAATCGATAGAAAGTCGACCACATTTTTCGTAAAAGGCAGGGGCCATAACCCGATCAGCCTGCTCACCAAAATCAAACGCATCCAAGATCTTTTGATGATTAATACATATTTTAAGTTTCATCTATGAGGATTCGCAACACTGGTATAGTAATACATCACACACTTTGCCACATTTTGCATAAAGGGTAGGAGTAATCTTAACGGGAAGTTATGGTCCAATTTCCACGAAAATAGAACTCTTCCGCAAAATATGTGGTGTAATAACCGAATAACAATTTTACATTTATGTACGCGATTCCTGTATGTGCCAATAATAGGGACCCATCGGAGATATTTTTGATATATTAAGTATATTATGTATATTAAGTTTCATAAATGGTGATCTCTAGCGGGTCCATAAAATATGTACGTGATTTTCGTACAAGGGGAAATAATCCAAAAAGTTACAATCTGAGATGTGCCAAAAAGTTGAGAATCTTCAGTCATTTATTGCCTTGCCTTGCCTAATTACAATCGATTTTTTTCAAAAATTACAATTTTGTTTCACCTGCTTAGATTTCAATGGCTTCTGCCAAGCCGATTAGCAGAAGGGGGGGGGGGCGTATTTTTAACAGCATGTTGTGTCGCACATACTGATTCTAGCGAGGTAAGGAAGGTCTTATTTTCTCACTAAAACCTTTCTCTAAATTGTACAGGCGTTCACAGAGACTGACACGCCACCGTTTAGAAGAAAATAAAATTTAATGTCTAATCTTGTTAAAAAATCTTCGACTTCGACTCGACAGCAATTTTGGTTTCACTAATGTAGCATTTCAGAAAGTTTATACCCCTTTACCATAAATCACATCATTTACAGATTTGCAAGGTCCTACCTCTCTAAATTCAGCACGTAGATCAACCAGCATGCAAGCAAGCAGGAAGACAGAAAAACTATGAAAATTCAGAGAAAACTCATCAAAAATACTGATTAAATTCAAGTCTTTATCATGGTTTAAAACACATCAAATATACACTTTCGTATTCTAGGATACACATAGATTCATAAAAACGCTATGGCACAACATTTCAGCGCATAAAAGTAGCAAAAAAACGGTAAAAAGATATACGGACCTTTTCCGTATGAAAGCTTTTCGATGTCGTGCTGCCGTATCCGTGTGCCGTATCATGTATGAGAAATACACACACATATCGATGACGTCATACGTAAAATCGATACGGATGCGCGATACGGACCAGGAATTTACGCTTGCCAAAGGTCTCTATTGGTAATCTCCGAACGTACGTTTTTCATTTTTGTTGTGGGTGAATCGAAGAACTTTGGTTTCTGGACTCGTATTTTTCGATGTTTAGCCCCTAGACTATAGTTATTTGATAATTTGCTTCGTATAATATTTGTAGTTTCTGTATAGATTACATTACTTTACGACATTTCACGTTCTGGTTCCAACGAATTGTGAACGTTATGACCTTTTTATTCGAGTGTTGGGGGAGGTTTGTTTTTATCATGTATCATACACAGCCGTCTTAGGTGATTGGTTAGACGTGTCCCCCGACTGGCGGGGATCCTGGCAGAAAATGACGACGAAAGATATTGCCTAAGTTCTGGTCACTTGTGTTAGGTTGGGGGCTTCCACATGCTCAAGACCCCAGGGCCCCCGCCATGGTTAATCCGACGCTGTATACTTCCACATGAAGATTGTTGAATTATTTAGCCCCCCCCCCCAAAAAAAAAAACCCTAACAAAACAAACTGTATAAACATAAGGTTATAGTCTTTTTCATCAATTATAGTTAAATGGGTGGAAATGTTTTAATAACCATAATTAAATAGTTTACTCATACGGAACGAACACACTTTATTTTTTACAATGGCTCATCTAGTAGCAGATAAGTTTAACATACAGAATACACAAATCTTAATAAATAACTAAACACGTCACCGTTTTTAAGTTCTTTTTCTAACATGATCATTATTTATCTTTTGTTAGAATATAGAAAGTGGTGGACTATTTCCTTTGTTAGATTTTTTTTTATCTGGGACTATCAAAAGGGGGTGTATCATAAATCAAGTGTTCCGGAAGGTTGAACGCACTTTGTCTGGCTGGTGACACCCTCACAGCTATAAATATTGTATCAATTGTAAATGCAGGAAAATATGTTTGCGATAATAATATATAGTTATATATCACGATAATCTCTCTATTTAATTACTTCTACATGTTTTATTTTTCAATTTAATTAAAATAAACGAATAAGATTAGCTTTATGTTTATAGCATTAACTATTTACCTCTCATATTGTTATTTCATTATCATTTACATTTTTAAAATAACTCCCGAGTTATTAGAGAGAGAGAGAGAGAGAGAGAGGATTTAACGTCCACTCGACACAAATTAGGTCATTTCGGGACTAACATAATGGTTTAATGTTATTTCAATAATTCCCTTGTGCGTAGGGGTCTTTAGCAGTGGGAGGAAACCGGTGGGCCCGGAGAAAACCCACGAGGTAGGGCAGGCGAACCTACTCCTTGTTAAGTACAACCGGGGAAGCGAAACCACACCAGTTGACTCGGTGACAGACCTTATGATGCAGCACGCACATGCCAACCATTTGCCCCCCCCCTCCCCACCTCGAGTTATTAGATACATATCACGACAAGAAACATTAAAAATTCAGAGAGATAGAAATGGGGGTTAAGATCCACTTTTTGGTTCATATAGTCACTTAAATACATTAAGTACAATGAGATAGAGAAATGGGGATTAAGGTCCACGTACTTTTCATTTCATAACTCGCTTGAGCGCATGTGCCTATAACAGCGGGAGGATATCAGAGAACTCTGAGAAGACCCACGAACTTCGACAAGTGACTAGATCTGTGTCACGTTCAAGCCTGTTGATATTGGCTAAGCAGGATATCGACAGAATGCCATTTTTACCAAAACTGATCTTCGAGTAGGAATGGATTATGCTTTGCCTTTAAACGCCCTAGTCCGACGTCACTCCATCAGCCCAAATGTACCTAGATGAGTATATTACATAGTGTAACTAGGAAAACTGTATACGTACACACACATAGAGGAGAGAGAGAGAGAGAGAGAGAGAGAGAGAGAGAGAGAGAGGTGTATATAATAAAACTCTATACGACCTACCTTATCTGCTTCATATATACTGTTCTATACCCTATATCAACTATCACAACAATGATAAGCTTGTGGGGATGTATGAATAAATGTACTGTTCATTATACACGACACCGTGTATTCAGTTTATAGAGTAAACTCATTTCGTTATAAAGAAACACTATCAGTGCCGGACTGGGCCCACCTGTCTATCTGTCCGTAACTGGTGGGCCTAAGCTCATTAAAAAAAAGTGGGCCTAAGCCTATAAAGAAAAAAGAAAAAAGAAAAAAAAGAAAAAAAGAGAAAGAAAGGAGAGGGGGGGGGGCGAAAGAAGGAAGGAGAGGACAGGACAGGACATTGGACAGGAGAAAGAAAAGATAGGAAAAACACAAAAAAAAAGTGTACTAGAATTCTCAAATTCATCTAATGATAGTGCTCTTAGGTCATTCTGTTATCTAATTGTATCAGGAAATCAAAAATTTGCCATCTTCTGCTTTGGTCTGAAATGCTTGGAAAATGGGTTTGCGGTTGTCAATTTTCAAAATTTTCCTAGGGGAGACCCCCTCGGACGTTCGCGCGCATTCGGCAAACGCGTACTTGGAAAACAGGTTTAATAGTACAACAGCTGATAATTAAACGTCCGATTCTACATTAGTAGTATGTAATCCTTTAGTGGCATTTAGCAATTGGAAACATAACAAAACTATACAGTTATATGGGACAACAATCACTGGTATTGTGCTTGATAACGATAAGAGAATACTTATCGAAACGTCGTGCTTGTGTATAATAAACCAGTGATTGTTGTCCCATATAACTGTATAGTTTTATTAGTAGTATGGCAGACCATGCCTTACCTAAAGAATTAAATGATTTTATTAACTTACGTAATATAACTGCGATTGATCCCTCAAAATGTCAAGCGCGTCTAACAGGATTCCGTAAATATTTGTTCTATTCGAATTAGTTGCTTGTTAAACCTAATTAATGACTGTTGAAAATCAATTAATAAATATATAATCTGTTCTGTTTGACTATCCTGAGCATTTATTGTACTCGTTACCATTCATAACTTCATATACTTTTCAAAAAAAGTAGGGGATATTCAGAAACAATACAAAACTGCGGAAATGCACCGCTGTTTTTTATTAGAGGTAACCAGTGTATGTTAATAACAGGCCAATTGCCTGCACATGAACATAAACCGTTCGTATGGGCGTGCGCACGCTAACCATTCAGCCATCCAACCCCCCCTCAAACTAAATAAAGAAAAACACAGTTATGAACTTATCAGTAGACACCAGTGAATACTCAATTGGGATCACGTGGGTTTTCGCATTTTCTTAGTGTGCCGTCCAAAATTTCGCGGCACACTTAGGAAGATCTTGCGGCACACATGTGTGCCGCGGCACACAGGTTGAGAATCACTGATGTAAACGAACGTATAGAGCCGCTGTTAGGGCGAAATTTTCCCATAGCACACTGGAAAGCGTACGTCTTAAATGGCCCGGTTGGTGCATACCAGTAGGATGTTAAATCTCATTTCATTTCATTTGGATTCGCAATTGATAAAACGGAAGATAGCCATCGGTTGCTGCCATATACATGACCGTTAATTCGAATTCGAAGAATCCATGCCTACAGACATATCTGAATCAGATTGAATCATCTGAAGGAATAAATTCAGAATGAATTTAGAATCTGATTCCCAGGCGCTGTGTAACTAATTTATTTGATCTATACCTGAAACATTACGTGTCAGATACATTGGATAACATTCTATGATACAGATGATTGACTGCTGACGTGCATCATACGAGCTAGTCTAAACAAAAATAGAGACAGGTCACTTTTTAGTATAATAAGTAAGTAGCGGGGCAAATGAACTAATGCTGAATAAAATTGCACCCCATTTTGTAAAAAAAATTAAAGAAGCGGTTGGACAATACCTTGGGATTTCTGCAGTATTTGTCATGTTTCCTTTAATTCTGGTATGTATTGCGTTCCTGTTGTTGAGGACCAGACAGTCCTACTGTGAGCACTCTCTAATATCCCAGTTTAGACCCAAGTATATACCAGATCCGACGTCAGATCCACTCTAAGGTATGCTGATATGCAAAACATGTCTGGTGATCTATGCCCCCGTGGTTCAGACCGTACTGTCTTCACCACACGGATTACAAATCATACATTTTCTTGTACTTTATAAAACTATACACATCAGACATTGTTAAGATGTATTTATGTTCACTTGTACGGTTTTAAGCATTCGTAATCAATTGATCTTTTTTCCAGCTTCTGCACAGAGCTATTGTTCCCAGAACCCGCAGGCCAAGTTCCCTGATCCTGCAAGCTGTGCCTTGTTCTATGATTGTTCTAGGTACGAACACGACACCAATCTTTACGCTTATCAGACGGAGTGTGTTTATCTTTACTTGTATGACGTGGATCTTAAACGGTGTGTTTACTTTTTACAAGCTAAATGTCAATCAAGACCAGAACCAAGAGCTCCATGTAAGTCAAAACAATGTGTTGTTGAAATTAAAAAAAATAATTTACATTATATGTGGGTGCATTTTAAAGGGCTTTGTCTATTTCAAATGCAAACCTGCAAATATCCCCAAGGTCACAAGGTATAAACAGGGTTACGGCACGTGATTGTTGCCGAGGATTGTGAGTTAGGTTTAAGAATTTGGGGGAGAGGTTATGTCTCCACATAAGCACTGACCTAGGATGATGAAAATTTGGTTCGTGATATTTCCTAGTTTTATTAGTGCAATACATTAGATTTATACATATTTTGGTTTCGCTGGGTTTTTCTTTGGTGTTGGTGGCGCTGGTGGTTTTCCTTCGATGTCTCCTGTGGTATTCTGGTATTTTGGTTTACTGAAGAAAAAAGAATAAATTTGAGGTTCTCGGTTGAGAGCCACATAAATGTGTTTCTTACTAAGAATTGGATTATCTAAAATTGTGTTTGTTCCACTATCACCGGGATAGAGCTAGGGATTTTTATATCTAGTTGATTTTATTTACTAACGGTTAGGGCTAGGGTTTGATATATGTTTTGGGGGGCTAGGGTGAGCACTGGTCTTATTTAAATCTAATTTACTGTGCACTAAGATGTCGTTCAGATTTATATTTTTAGAATATGTAATAATAGGTTTCTGTGTGAAGATTTTCAGGTGATTTTCCAAGAGATCAGTATAATGTTTTCTGATGATTTTGGACGCATTTGCTGCTGTAGCGCTACATGGGACTACAAAAGGGGCTATCGAGCTAGCCGTATGAATATTCAAACCGGGGGGGGGGGGGGGCTGTTGTTTTCAATTTGGCAATCCAGAGTTTTTCTCTAGTTAGCCTAAACGTATTAATTTCTTCTGGATTTTCAAAGTCGCTCTTAGTCTTTTCTATTAGCTAACTAAGTGCATATTTGATTTCCCCTACATTGTCTACATGAAATTAGATAAATTATGTTTGAACTGCTGCATGAAAGTTGGTCTAATATTGGGAATTGTGTGCCAGATGTTTTGTTATGGAAATGGTCGGATATGTTTATGATTGTGCATCTTAGGTGGCCACATGTTTTAGTTAGGGCTAGTGCTGGCCCTGTTTACATCTTGTGATCCAATCTGTTTCACAGAGTATTACGAGAGGCTTCTAATATATCTGTAAAAGATGACCGCCTTCAACACAGGACGTCATATCACGCGGCGTCAATCATTGGCTCAATGGCGCTTAAATTGTTTACATAAGACGTTACTGATTCGAGCAGAATGTCGCCTTTTACTCATTTTAATACCCATTCACACTAAACTAGGAAATACTTTTTACCTACAAATACTTCAAACGTTTTTTTTTTCTAATACATAAAAAAAAAAGTTTTAGAATTTAATTTGTGGCTCATTAAGTCGCATCGATGTCATCCTTATCAGTGATTGTAGCAGTCTAGCGATGAAATCTACAGGTGAGGTGTGAATGTGAAATAAATCTAACCTTTTTAAAGAGCCCCAGGCATCATGCCACCAAAATGACGGCCAATCACGATAATATAAAGGGGAGTAACTCACAATTAAAATGGAATCAATAATCCTATCATTATTATAATATATATAAAAAAATATCTCCTGTAATTTGAGAAAACCTAGTATGTCTGTTGAATGTTAATTTGAGAAAACAAAGGAAAACTGTTTTGTTTCAGGATTAAGCCATTGAATATAAACCAATTTATTTTGGCTTTTTAGGTAAAGATAATTAAAAGCTTTTTCAGGGAAGGAGACAAACTATATTACTTTCAGATTACAGGAGAATTAGAATAATTGTAAAGTAACAGATCATTGTTACCTTTTCTTTTGAAATTCAGGTGAATATGAAAGAGGCCATTGTTATGGTAGAAATCATGACCAGTGTATATCATGCGATGCTAACTGTGTAACCTTGCCAGATGGATTAAATGTATACCCAGGACGTTCTTTGACACCTTATTATCTATTGTGTGCGGCTGGAAGAACTATCAACGTTAAAGTATGTCCAGATAGTCAAGTTTTTGATCCGATTGTTGGTGGCTGTGTTGCTCAGATTGCCACAGGTAAGACCTTTTTATGTCTTTAAAGATATCTTGGATAGTTTTTTATTTGTTTTATGTATTTTCTCTCAATATAGAAGAAACAAAGCAAAAGCTTCATATTACCAAGAATTTTGATTCATTTTAAAGATCAGTAGCATGCAGTGTTACGCTCAGATTAGAAACGTTTCTGAAAGAGTAATGGTTCTAATACTTGGATCACAACTCTTCAATTAAGTCTTTTTACCAATATAGCATTTTAATGCTCCCATGAAATCCCAGACTAGCCTAACTAACAACAGACGCAGCCGTATTAACACCAATAGCACCAACAACACCAACAGCCTCAGCAGTATTAACAATATGAAGCTATTGAATTTGGTTTTATTTCAGAAACTATGAGGTTATTCTGTGAAGCTAATCCTGGTACCATCATCTCTCACCCCGGAGAGTGTGCCATGTATTATGACTGTAAACAGACGAGCACTATAGGCAACTTCCAGATCTACGAAAGAGAATGTAAATACCCCAACTTGTTTGACACGACCAGTCTAGCATGTGTCGACTTTTTCAATGTTACTTGCGAGAAACGTCGAGAACCCATCTCTCCTTGTAAGTATTACGATACCGTTTTACATAATAACATACTAAATGCACTGTTTTACATAATAATATACTGCAAATATTCACTGTTTACATAATAACATGTCAAACAGATTTTAATCTTGCTTATTAATTGTTTTAATTTAAAATATTAGTTTTAAATTTATGTGATGATGTAACATATAATATATATTGTACATTGCCATCCGTCTCTTGATATATGTATTTACATATATTTATGTATGTGATTGCCATTTTAACTGTGTATATACACCCATTTTGTTCCTTTGTTTTAATATTGTGTATGTATATTATCTAGAGAGAGGGGTTTTACATACGCTAAGCCTGTTCCCCAATCTCATTCAGACAAACTGAATAAAATATTGTTTATAAAAAAAAAAATAACATACTGTTAATATTCTCTGTTTTAATACATGTAGTAATATACTGCTAACATCAAGTTTTACATAATAATATACTGTTGATATTCACGGCTTTATATAATAATATAGTGCTAATATTCACTGTTTTACTTCTGATATTCACTGCTTTATATATTCACTGCTTTACATACTAATATACTGCTACTATTCACTGTTTGACTGCTGATATTCACTGCTTTTCATAATATTATACTGCTGATATTCACTTTACATAAAAAATATACTGCTAATATTCACTGTTTTGCTGATAGTCCTGCAGCCAAAATTTCTAGCTTGCTTAGAAACACAATTCCGCTACATGGTCCTCCCTAATAAACAAACTATACATTTTTGGAAAGCTTATAACACCAGGAACACAAATCAGGAGTTCCAAGCAACAAGTCTGCACTAACTCGATTTAGGGCCAGATGAATTGTCAAGTAAATGGTATATTTATACTAATAATTGTGAAGTTGACATACAATTAAATATTGGCGAAAACAATTTTGGAAATCCATTAACGGTAATAGAGAGTTATCTCCCTTTCTGTCAACTGTCAGCAATTGGTAACAGTATTTCAGCATTTTGAACATCTGAGACACGCTACCTGCGGAGAAGTATCTCAGACACAGTCAACAGCCATGATATCCATACCACGTGATCTACACATCACAGGTCATGAGGTCAACAACACGTTATATTGGAAACAATAGAGACTTTTGGCAAGTTGAATTTTTCCCACCCGTATCGCGTATCCGTGTCGTCACGTGATACGTTGCGTCTATATAGTTTCAGACTTTTGGCAGATTTTCGCGCCGCGTACGTATGGGTAGCTGAGCTGAGCGTAGTTCTATTACAGCATGGTGGCAGTTATCTACCAAGATCAACATCAGTACTAGTCAAGTACCTAGCCTACAATTTCATGGAGGGAGTGAAGTAGCTCGACTTCGACTCGACAGCAATTTTTATTTTCATTAATGTATCCTTTCAGAAAGTTTACCCCCCTCTACCATAGAATCACATCATTTACAGATTTGCAAGGTCCCACCTCCCTAAATTTAGCACGTAGATCAACCAGCGTGCAGACAGACAGGAAAATTATGAAAATTCCGCGAAAAGTTCATCAAAAGTAATGATTAATTAATTCCAGTCTTTATCATGGTTTAAATCACATCAAATATACACCTTCGTGTTCTAGATACACATTGATTCATAAAAAACGCTACGGCACAACATTTCAGCGTCTAAAAGTAGTAAACAATACGGTAAAAAGACGACGATGTTATACGGACCTCTTCCGTATAAAAGCTGTTCGATACGTGCTGCCGTATCCGTGTGCCGTATCACGTATGGGAAATACACACACGCACACGCAAAATCGTCACGGATACGCGATACGGACCAGGAATTTACGCTTGCCAAAAGTCTCTATTAGGTTTATCTTCAGCATTGTGTCCTTAGCACCCATAAAGACTATATCATTCGTACAGTCCCAACATCTTCTCTCTTCTTCCAATTATTTTTCCCAAAAATAACATCTACAACTCATAGAATTGACGTTGTCTTCAATGACAGCGTCTGCGAATTGTTATTCATAGAGGGCACTATTTTGTGCTTCGGTCGGGTCTATTTCAGATATACATAATCCTTTCTGTTAATGTTTTTAGCGTTGGGATTGACTAATAGTTAATTTATTTTAACTATTTTAAACTTTAACGCAAATTTAGAAAATAGCCAAATTCTGGCTGGGATTACTGAGCAAAATGGCCATTCACTGTATACGTGCAAAAAAAGCTAGCCACCAATTAATTTTCGTACGTTAGTTACGTACGAGTATTTCAGGTGCGTGTTGACTGCTGATGCTGTATGACGCACAAGACCATGTGTGAGCACACAAACCCAATAATTATATCGTTAATGGGGACTGAAAGTGGTGGTGAGCGGGTGTTTACCGAGAAATTATGGGCGGAGCGCCTAGTCTGATGAGAAAGGAGATATGTTTGACATTGGTTGAGCAATATGTCTATGAAGTAATGGAGACCAGACTATGTCCGTAGTTTTGTAAATCGCATTGAAACCACGTGATTGTTTCCACTAAAACATAAACCCACACCGACATACCCTTCCAATTAGACGCTACGTTATTTTTACTACAGGTAGCTGTAAATCTCTAGTTCAGATATTCAAGGCCGAATTACAAACATTTAAACTGAAACCGTATCTATAACTGTGTAATTTGCTAACAAATATAGATTTAAGACAAAAATTATTTATTGAAGTAAGTCAATTATTGAAAATCAAAATTACGCAGTTACCCTGCACTTTAAATGCCATCAAAGTTAGTCGTTATCATTATCACTTCCACTACATGTATAAACATCAAATTCAGTTTCTTTAACAGTCTTTTTGTTTCATATTCACATTTACTACACTTACACAGATTAGATACGTACATGTACAAGACAAACCCTGTGCGGTATCCCCCTGTCAGTGGTACGGGATGGGAGTGGGCTGGAAGGACAATGCCCAGTGGTTCGGATGGGAGGGAAAACAATAGTTTAAACAATATTTGATTCAACAAATAGGTAGGGGGCTACATGGGTGTAGGGGGCTAATCTCACTTGGGGATGGGGGTGGGGGCTGAGCCTATTTGCCTGAAAAATTTGTCACCCAAATTTTCTGAATGAATCAGTCATTAACTAAAATGAATTTTCCACAAAGCTGTGATGGTTGTTTATTTTGAATTAATTATACAAATATACAATTTTATTTCCATGATGTAACCAACAGCATATTCTTTGCCGAGGATGAAGGCATCGGGTGTTTTCGCCAATATTTAACTTTATGTCAACTTGACAATTATTATTATAAATATAGCATTTACTTGACAATTATCACAATTTTCATCTGGCCCTAAATCGAGTTACTGCAGACTTTTTGCTTGGAACTCTCTGGATTTGTGTTCCTGGTGTTATAAACTTTCCAAAAATTTATAGCTAGTAATTTGGGCTGCAGGCCTAAGATGCATGAGTCATTCTTATGTTTTAATGTTAAAACATGGATCCCATTTTTGAGGGATATTGTTGGGCATTATTTTCTAAATTCATAGTATCACGTGGGTGCAGCGAAATATTTAGATTCTTTGTATATTTATATAAGTTTCAAACCGCACCATTCAACCAACACACTCATTTTTTCAGGTGACTATCTCCAATATCAGTGTACAGACAAGAGTTGTGTCCCTTGTAACCAGGTGTTACCAGACTGTACGGGAAGAGAAGATGGCTATTACACAGTACCACGATGGGAATTGACGTCATCATATATTGTATGTCAAAACTTCAGGTTTATGTTCCGTTATGATTGCCCACCTGGCCAGATATTTGACATCCTCACAAAACGATGCGCAACCACAATTTCACAAGGTACTCTTTTTAACATTACATTTTCTAGAACTCCTTGATGAAAGATACATTGTCCGTCAATTTTACAGCACCCCTGAGAACACTTCTCGCCCCCTTGGTTGCTCTGAGCTAGTTACGGCACTGTTTGTTCTTAAAGCGGGAAATAACACAAACTATGTTATTTCCACACTAACAAATTATTGTGCATCATTACTTGATTTTCCCCAATTCATTCGCTAGACCGTGTTGGGCACAAGTGTATTCGGCAGTGGGGGGGGGGGGGGAACTCGGGGGATTAAAAGAAAACCCACAAGGTCACGTTCAAGCCTGCTATCAAAACCACGTTACTTTACTCAATGGCAGGCCTTATAATCTAAACGAGGACGACCATATATGCCTTTCTTTCCAGTATTCTTATTAGCTCACAATTTCTCAATTGTTGGCTCATAATGTTTTCACAATTTTTTTCAGTTGTTGGCTCCCACTTTTTTACTTGATGGCTCCCACTTTTTTTTTTCAATTTTTGGCTAAATATTTTCCTTTTTTGGCTAAATATTCCCAATTGTTGACTAAAAATGCATGTGTTTACGTTCACCCCCCCCCCCCCCACCGCCGGTTTGTTGACTCTAGCAGGAAATTGCATCGTATATGCTTTGTATTATCTACAGGATCAATCGAAAATTAATCAACCTCGAAATACACACCAAAGAATTCCTCAAATGTATAGAATTGACTTTTGATATTTTCAGCTTCTATGGACGCTTATTGTACCAAGTATCCAGCGGGTCGCATAGGAAACCCATTACATTGCGCGCAGTATTCCGACTGTACGGCCCCGATGTCATCAAGACTTGTTGAATGTCCCTACCCTCAACTCTTCTCCTACGAGTACATGGAATGTCGCCCATTTACCGAGGTAGATTGCGGCCGAAGAATAGATTTTAAAAATCCTTGTAAGTAAATAAAAAACAATGGAAATGAAATTGGTTCAATTGTTATTCAAATCGACAAATGCTAAAGTAAGTTATTCCCATTTGATGTTTACGCCGTCTTCTAATCTTTATGCGTCTGTAATAAATATATTGAGATCTTTATTGTTATAATCCTCTACATTACAATCAAAATTACATTTTAAACACTGGGAATGTGTTAAGTAAAATTCCCTCTTTAGCGGTTTCATTTACTTTTAGAAATTAAGATATAATTTGGTTATCATATACTTATTGTAGGCGATTATCGGCGATTCTACAGGTGTTCCAGTCCCGACCCGTCTCAATGTCCACCTTGTGAATCTCTCTACCCCTCGTGTCATCTTCAACCAGAGGGTTTCGTAGCAGCTTTGCCAGGAACTGGTAACCAGTATTACATCTGTAATAGAGGAAGAGCAATCCTAAAGACATGTCGAACCACATTTAGTAATGAACTAAAGAGATGTTTAGACCCTGTTACCATTCCTCCAGTAACAAAACCACCACCCCCAGCTATCGAGCCATACAGGGCCACTGCAATAAAGCAACCATTGTCAAATATCTTCACGCAGGATCCAAAAGGACAGATACAACCATCACTTCAACAACCTACACAGTATAACCAACAACCATATCAACAGCAACCATCAAATCAACCACAGCAACCATTAGGGATGACTCAACTGCAAACGTCAAATCAACCGCAACCACAAAATCAACCACAACAACCGAATCTACCATATCAGCCACAACAACCGTCGGGGATGACTCAATCGCAACCACCAAATCAACCACAACAACCACAACAACCGAGTCTACCATATCAGCCACAGCAACCGTCGGGAATGACTCAACCGCAACCTTCAAATCAACCACAACAACCGAGTCTACCATATCAGCCACAACAACCGTCAGGGATGACTCAAACACAACCATCAAATCAACCACAACAACCGAGTCTACCATATCAGCCACAACAACCATCAGGGATGACTCAACCGCAACCACCAAATCAACCGCAACCATCCGGGATGACGCAACCGCAAACATCAAATCAGCCACAAAAACCATCAGGTATGACTCAATCGCAACCATCAAATCAACCACAACAACCGAGTCAACCGTATCAACCACAGCAACCAGCGGCCCCCCTTCAACCACAGCCATATCAACCACAACGTCCATTACCTACTGTTCAACAACAACAAACGCCATCACCTGTCCAGTCTCCTCAGCCACCATCTGGTATTTCTCAACCACAACAGCCAGCTGCTCAACCTCAGCAACCAGTCGCTCAACCACAACAACCAGTCGGACAGTCTTCTACTCAATCATCAAGATTACCATTAAATATCGGTACAACGAAAATAACCACCTATTCAACGCTTCCTCCCAATAGTTTTTCTCAATCGCCAGGACAAACAAATCCACCCAGTTCGTCCATTTTTGACGGAGCTCCGGTTTTTCAGATTCAAACTAGACCACAACCCCCAATCGTTGTTACTACAACTCCGATACCAACTACACCTGCTTTACCAAGACCAGGACAAGCAGGTAGGTATTTAATGCTTATTGTAAGTCTTTTGACACAATAATGATTTTAAAACATCGTTGTAAACATGTATCTTTTCTACATTTGTCCAGAAATGAAAAGATCACATAGAGAAATGGTAGATGGTTCTATGTTGAGAATTGGTAGAATTTGCATCATCACTCACACCAGAATAAACCAGCCTAACACTAAACAAAAATGCCCCTCTCCTATAAAATTATTACAAGATGCAATTAAAAACATGCGAGTTATATTGCTTTATATTTTTTCCACAGGATTTGATGTTAATGTTTATTGTGCGGCCAACCGTTACGACATTTTCCCACATCCGAACAGTTGTGCAAAGTACTATAACTGTATGGTACCGTCAAGTATATATGAGCCGTACGTGTCGGAATGTCCGTATCCACAACTGTATGATTTCACCAGCAGAACTTGTAAATATTACGTAGATGTCCGGTGTGTACCTGGAGTTTTAGAACCTGTTGCGCCATGTAAGTATCTTTCGATCCTATGATTTATTACGAACGACCTTGCGATTGTTTCTGCATATAACGCTGTGGGAGGAAACCGGAGGACCCGGGAAAACCCATGAGGTTGGACAGGCGACCTGACGTACAAGTGAGGAATCGACACCACGCTACTTTACTCATTTACAGACCCTGTGGTGTAACGTGCACGCGTTTAACCATTGGCGCCTCCCTCCACCACCTCTTACCGAAGATCACACAGTGTTGAGTGGTGCTCTATCCTTGTTACTGTCCTTGTTGAGATTTAATGATTTGATTTAGGAATGGTGAATCGAGTGTTGATTAACAAGTACCGTTGCAACGATAATAAACAATCTATGCCACATATTGTCAAAACAGTGATAAAGAATAAAGTAATTTGAATGAAATTTTCGATATATTTATTTTGCATTATCTTTAACTATTATAGCAACAACGGCTAGCTCTTTATCTAACTCTTACACAAATGCATCTTTAAATATATATTTTAGACATTATTTTATACTTACATGTAATACTCCACATTTTACTTTTAAATGTAAACTGTAAGCTTGTATAGGTTACACATGCACCCTTCCCGCCAATTATTGATAATATGATTATTTTATGTAGGTGAATATGATAAATATATGGCTGAATGTAACAATACTAACTGCCCACCCTGTGAAGTGAATAACCCGAGTTGTAAAGGACTATCAGATGGAACCCACCCATACCCTGGCGATGCCATGAGTCCTCGGTATACCGTCTGTCATACTGGAAGAACAATAAGGGTCATCAGCTGCCAACCCGAAACTTTCTATGATCCCGTTACGAAACGTTGTAATCACGAACTCACCAAAGGTACGTAAATGACATTGATACTCGTTTTGAATACGATACGAAAAGAAATTGATATCGAAATGAACCGGGGCTTAAAATGCTATTTTCGCACCAACTTGGCTAATGAAGACAGTAAATTGATATCACAAAATTATGATTTTAATTTGCGATAGCGTCACGGGCAACGCAGCTGAATATGGAAGTGTTAACGGTGCGTTGTCAATAGATCTATTAATCAACAGACGTAAAGGGTGTGAAAACCATGTTATTAAATGAATTCCAACTATACCAATGGATCTTTATACGTCTGTCGTATTATCTCGACTTTGGCCGAGAACATCTCGAAGAATTTTTTCAAGTACGGTTCTGGCTTGTCATTGGTGGTACCGCCAGAGTTAAATCAGGAGGATGAAAATCAGGTCAAATGATTTAGCCGGGCATAGAAATAAAAAATAAACATATAATTTGAGTATGAAAATGACCGAAGTAAAGTGTCGACGAGGCGTCAAACCCACCCCCATTCTATTCTTTTATGTATCTCTTGGTCGTTTAACGCCTAGGGGGTTTGGGTGGCCGAATGGTCTAATGCGTCTGATTTGTAACAAGCAAAAGTCACGAAAATATATGTTAGTCCAGAAATCACCTAGTTTGTGTCGAGTGGACGTTACCGCCCCTCTCTCTATCTGTCTCTCTCTCTCTCTCTCTCCCCCCCCTCTTTCTCTCTATATCTCTCTCTCTCTCTCGTATTAAAACGATTACCAATGCTCCAACAAACATAATATTACTCGGAATGCAACACACCTTTATTCGCCCCGCCGCCCTCCTTTCTAATTATATCAGGACAATGAATTCTTAAATAATATGGCGATTGTTGAAATTTGCTTCTTTTCTTTTAGAATCCATCGATAAATTCTGCATGTTGTATCCGAATACAGTACATCAGCATCCCTTTAACTGTGCGCAGTTTTTAAAATGCACTGCCCAGGGCAGTCTGGTCATAGAGTGTGGGTATCCTCGTTTATTTAACGGTACAGATTGTGATGACTTTAAAAAGGTTGACTGCAAACAACGATATAAACCTGTAGCTCCATGTAAGTATAGTAAGAGTGGGATTAGCCTACATTGTTGGTAGCTCTTCGGACCACAGATTTGTCAACAATTCATGACATGGTCTGCCGTTGTTGTTGGTGGCTCTTGGGACCACAAATTTGTCAACAGTGCATGGCATGGTCTGTCGTTGTTGTTGGTGGCTCTTCAGACCACGGATTTGTCAACAATTCATGACATGGTCTTTCGTTGTTGTTGGTGGCCCTTCGGACCACAGATTTGTCAATAATTCATGAAATGACCAAATTGCGTGTATTTTCTACATATCCTCGTCTTAAAGAAGAACAGGTGTTCATCTTTTGCTAGTCAGTAATTTAAGTGGATAAATAGGTTTTATGTCAAATTTGAGACAAACCTGACGATCCATCGTATATATTATCGCCTATGAATTTATAGACGTGCGTGCAAAATACCTGTCCTCAAATTTTAGTTAATTATATGACTATTTTGAATATTTTTAATGCAGTATTATGATAATGCCTCTTTGAATATATATGGTAAATCTTCTTAAAGGTGAATATGCTCAGAATCGTCGCTGCCCACCAGGTAAAACTAGCTGTGAACCATGTGAACAGAGAATACCAAGCTGTGTTGGTATGTCTAATGACAAGCAAGCATACCCAGGACGACCACCATCACAACTCTTTGTCCTATGTGACTCGGGTAGAACATCGGCGGTGATGCAGTGTCAGAAAAACATCTTTAATCCAACAACCAAACAGTGTTCTGGCACAATTTCAATCGGTATGTTTTTTTATGGCCCAATCTACAGGATATATTAACTCGGTTCCAATCAAAGTAAGATGCTCCAATTATTTATAGCTTTTTAAGTACGAACTGTGAAGGGTGTGGTAAACGTGACGAGATACGCTTCGGAAAACACGATTCCACCGTGTTGCTACATATTAAATAGAAAACCAAGTTTGATTTTGTCGACACACGAGTACGGGTTATTAAGCTTGCCTAAACTCATTTCTACCTAGAGACTGTAATTCGCGTCTACCGGACGTTACAAAACAAACATTTGTGGTAGATACTTTTGGGAAAGATTGTAATGTTTTTGAAAGCCACGCCGGGTAAATACACCAATCTGAAAGATTTATTTGTAAAAGAAAATATGTATATGTAACTTAGTCAATTGGAGATGGTGCTACGATTATGAATGTGTTATTGTTGCGCCAGGCTCTCACTGAGTCTGACACTATAGCCGAGATGTAAATGAAATGAAAACCCTCAAATTGTATTTTTTAGCCAGTGTTGCCAGTATCTGTATGAGACATCCGACAGCCAAGTTTCCAGATCCTGAAAATTGTGCTAGATATTTTAATTGTAGTATGAAGGAAATATTATTAGACCGACCATTCCATGGTGAATGTAAATATCCAGATTTCTTTTCTACTCTCAGTAATAAATGTGAAAGCTTCCTACAGACCACACAAACCGGTGGGTGTGGTACACGATATACACCTGTAGAACCCTGTAAGTATTTTTGCTATTTGACAATGTTTTTTCTCCGGCTGGGTTCCCCCGCGTAGACATTGGCGTGCACGTAAAAGAACCATTGACCGTTGGTATTCCATATAAGAATACGCCGTAGTGCCCCTGTCCGGGCACATTTTTCCTCGTAGCACACTGTATAGTGTATGCCCGTCTTCACTAGCCCAAACAGAGTAGAACAGTAGGACGTTAAACTCTATTTCATTTCATTTTCATTTATTATAAATAATACATTCTACCCACTTTGTAAGTTTCTCTTCTATTTGGCTTAGTGTAGTCGCGACAATGCATTCTTAACATTTATAGTCCGCTTTAGATCACAGGTTATATCAACTCTTACTTTGATTTGTGCATTAACCATTTCACACCTTGTGGCGCCTGATTTGTATCCGTTAACATCGAGGTCAGTATGTTATCTATCCTGTACCTCTTGTTTAATATGCTAAACTACTACCCACTTTAGATCACTGATTACATAAACATTTCCTTTGATCTTTGCATTAATGATTACACGCCTTATAGATTTGTATCTACAAACCTCGACGCCATGACGTTTTCTATCCGATATCGTGTGTTTAATATATTAAAATTAAATCACTTCTAAATAATACTTTTCAGGAAGATAAGTGATTAACTATTAAATGATTTGTATTATTTCAGGTGAATACCATGAACATTGTCCTACCCAACCTAACTGTGACCAATGCAAGAGAAACCTACCAAGCTGCAACAGACCAAGTCTTAACGATCCTGGCGTGAACTTAGTACCTAATAATACCGTACAATTTGCTTCTGAATGGTACTTCTGCTATGACAATAGAACCATTGCATACGGCGTATGTGCTCGAGGACAGTATTACAATAAGGCAGCGGGAGATTGTGCCGCATTACCATCTCGGACGACGTTGGGTTAGATGTATTATTTAAACTACTCGGTTGCTATGAACTGCATAAGTATCAGAAATATTTGTGGATTACTTTGGTAATCTATTTAATTATGAACTATCCGGGTATTGCTTATTTTGGTAGTGAATTGTTCCGGTAGTTTCTTGTGTTCACATATATACATGTATGCGTTACAAAAACTGTTTTATGTTCAAAAGTATTATGAACTTCCTTCAAAAATAAGAATTTGAATGTGCTCATCATGTCATTTGTAACATGGACATATTATTATCATTTATATATAAACATCATCATTATTGATATTTTTAAAATGTAATTTAAATAGCAGTGACATATTTGTGTATTTCATAACAGTAAATACGGGGTATTTTGAGCACCTTCATTGAAAATAATATTTCTTTACCTTAAGAACATGCACAGAAATCGGGACGGTATAAACTTACTGTGCAAACACCAGAAGATGTAATTAGGACACACAGATTTGGTGAATATTGTTCAAAATAATTCGTTTTGTGTAAATGACAATGTAGGGTGGTCTTGTCATTCATTGAATAAAGTCGTATTTAAAAGACTGTGCGTTGTCATGTTTTCAATAGACTGGACACATTTATTTGCTGTATAGCTACAATAGAAATGATTCAAATCAAACTCAGACATTCTCTATTTTTGTGTTTTTGACATACCCACAAAACATGTGGGATTATATTATCGTTACTCTTTCACTTCTGTCCGTTTGTCCATACTTCATGTAGAGGTCAGAGGAGGAATTATATTGATATTTAGAGTCACGCAACTACGTTACGGCCCCTTTCACTAAAACATTGTAAGGGCTCTACAGTTCAGCGTTTTGGCGATATGCTTTTCAAACTTGCTGGTCCTAAAGTGGTAGAAACCCTTCATAGTTGCGCAATATAACATGCATGTAAACCTGACTAAATTGTATTACACATTTCTTAAATAATTGACAATCCAAAATATGTTGCACGTACATAATTATATCAGAGATGATTGACCAAATATGGAAGCAGATTGCTAACTTGGTCTATGGAAAAACGAATCGGAAACCCTTCATAGTTGCGCAATATAACATGCATGTAAACCTGACTAAATTGTATTACACATTTCTTAAATAATTGACAATCCAAAATATGTTGCACGTACATAATTATATCAGAGATGATTGACCAAATATGGAAGCAGATTGCTAACTTGGTCTATGGAAAAACGAATCGGAAACAATGCATCAATTGACAGGTTAGGCAACTGTAAAAGAACCCTTGACACAGCTGGAATTCCAAATAAGAGTAGGCCGTAGCGGTGCTGTCAGGCACAATTTTCCTCGTTGCACACGGCATGGGGTATGCCCGTCTTCATTAGCCCAGCCAGAGCAGAATACTAGAAGGTTAAACCCCATTTCATTTCATGTATAGTTCTGTAAAGGTTCAATTCAATAGTCAATCGCAAACATCAAGGGAAACTAGGTCACAAATTTTATTACACAAATTTTACATGAAACGTAAACAAAAGAAAAACATTGAATAGAGTAGAGTTTATACAGTTATTGTTTGTTATACAGATAGTCGTATTTCTTGCATAACTTTTTATGTTGCGTGCTCTAGTTTTTATTAACGTTTGCATAATACGTAATATAATATATTACATTATGTTCGGCGTTTCACTGCACACACAATGCAAATTCCAGAGTAATAACATTCATAAGCAGCAAGATATAATATACATGTATTTAGGTTACGGTAATAAAATATAGATTAACGTATACAATATGAATAAATATGCAATCTATGTCCTGTCATCAACGAAATCCTGCAAACTTGGTTAACAATTTCTTTTTATATTAAATTTCGTCTTTCACATCCACTATTTTGAAAACGCATATCAATATGCATGAATGATTGTTATAATGTCAGTCAATGTTAATTATATATAAATGTCATTTTATGGTGATAATTATATTTGGAGCTGGTTTAAGGAGACCCGTGCATTCAAATTCTACTCAGAGCTCCTACTTTTTTCGAGGCTCGATGGGTAAGGCGCTGGCTCACTAACCGGGAGGTACAGGGTTCAGTTTAGATGTTGACCGAGAAAGATTCCCAGGTATTTTCCAGCGTGGTTTCCCTGTGTCAGTGGTGCAGGAACGGCGTCTAGTCGTTCGGATAGGACAGGAAACCGAGGGCAAGTGTATACGTTGAAGTGCGCGTATAATAAAACTTGATAGTTGGAATTTAATTGCTACCAGGGCAAAATTTCGCTTATAGCACACTGTATGGCGCTTGTCCGTCTTTATTATCTCAGTTGGTGAACAACGTAGGACGTCAATCCCCATTTTAATTCATTCCCTACTCCTTTTAATTATAATTCAGCTTTAGGCAGAAAACTTATGGTGAACTTAATCCAATAAGTGATTACAAATAAAATGAATTTTATGGTCTAAAGAGTCTTTTGAAGGTGTGAATAACGCCAATAAATAATTTGTTTTTATCTAGAAGTGTTATAAACTGTTAATGTATTATACTAAACATTTGTAAGACTTTTGCTAGAATTTTTGCTCTTTAAATTAAGGATAGCATTATATTGTATTAAATAATATCTCTGGCAAGTTAGTAGATTCACATATTTGTAATTTAATTAAGTTAGCGAATGAGTGACAGATGGTTACATAAAAAAGAGTCATAATGTGGTAAACATTCAATCGAGGTTGATAACAGATATCTCATGGGAAGTTTCTCCAGTAAAGTTCCACTAACCATATAAAGGGTGGGTTTCGACGTCATTTGGCTCAATTAACCAATCTCTCTAACTATTTACATCATATTTGACCAATTAGATAATTGAAGGTCCAAAACCCAAAGCTACAAAACTATCATACTTTTGAGAATTCGCCAGACAGCAGCTTGATTCCAGAAGGGAACGATGTAGCAATTTCTATCAGCAGACTTGCTGACTGGCTAGTGTTGAGAATGACTTTAGTATTGTAATCTATACTATGCTTTATCCATGTATCCGGCTATGATATATAAAATGTAAAAACGAACTGTTGCATTGTTGTTCCTGGTAAGACAACTGTCTTAAACTACAGAGATCGATAAGGAAGAAGAGAATACACAACGTGAAGGGGAAGCAAAGACAACAAGTGAAAATACTAGACTATCACAAAGCTACTAAGATATGTAGTAAGAACATGTGCATGGGTCGTACGTAGGATGAGGCGACCGAATTTGGCGGTCCGCTCTCCAGGTCTGACAGAAAGACCCATGGTAATGCATATTCTATTTGGTGCCGTAACGCAGTTTCGACCTTTGGAAGAAGAAAACATATCCTATTTGGTGCACGTGACTAAAAGATCGAGTACCCTGAAAGAAATCTGGAAGAAGAAAACCCATAGAACCAGTACCCCAAAGAAATCTGGTGGAAAAACAAATTGGTGGGAACAAAATCTGCTGGAAGAACAATTTTTGGTGGAAATGTTCACAAAATTGGGTAAATACATTTTCCCGGGAAAATTGAATGTGTTCCGTTGTTAACAGACCACATAATAGTAATATAAAATTAAAAATGTTTAAAATGCAACTGTATAGAACATAAAATATAGTCTTTCATAGGTTTTGATAGACAGAGTATATTAAACAATATATACTATTCAAAAAAAGTAGGGGATATTTGATTTTGGGGGCATAATACTAAAATATGCAAATGACTACGAAAAAAGTCACTATAGAACCTAACAGAAGAAACATTCCCAGTTACATGTGACGCCCAAACGCACCAATAGCTACCGCATGGAATGCAGGTGATGCTTGGGATCATCATGGGGGTCCAACCCAAGATTTGCACGACTCTGACTTTGAATGTTACAGTCATTGTGGCATTGAATTCCAGGGTGGAAACATCAGTTTAATTGTTTTAGTGACCAGAAAACCAATTTTGATATGCGTCGGCTTACCCAAAATGAAAGGTTACGTGCCCTTGGCATGCTACAGATCGGCACAACACAGGCGGTTGTGGCGCGGACGATGAATGTTTCTCAGTCTGTCATAAGCAGGCTATGGTCCAGATACCGTGATACACAATCTGTACAGGACAGACCACGCTCAGGTCGACCAAGGGCGACAACTCAAGCCCAGGATCGATTTATCCGTACCTTGGCCTTGAGAAATCGTGTCATCACAGCAAATCAGATCAGCGCTCGTCTTCAAACAGACACTGGTGTGAGAGTGAGTGGCCAGACGATTCGGAATCGACTGCATAGGGGTCACCTTCGCGCCCGACGTCCTCGCGTGATCCCTTGTTTGAGAGATCATCACATTCAGGCAAGACGTCATCGGTGTAGGGATCGTCAACACTGGGATAATCGACGCTGGAGCAATGTGATGTTTTCAGATGAGTCAAGGTTCACTGTTGATTTTTTGGACAGACGTAGGAGGGTGTGGCGTCGTCGAAACGAGCGCTTCCAAGACGTTAACGTCATCAGACATGATCGATTTGGGGGTGGTTCTGTTATGGTGTGGGGAGGCATCACTGTTGCTGGAAGAACGGCTTTACATGTTGTGCCGTTCGCACGACGTCATGGCCGCCGTTTCATCTTCCAGGATGACAACGCAAGATGTCACAGGGCCAGGATCGTTACAGGTTACCTCCAACAACAGAACATCACCACATTACCTTGGCCAGCACTGAGTCCCGACCTCTCCCCCATCGAGCAGGATGACAACGCAAGATGTCACAGGGCCAGGATCGTTACAGGTTACCTCCAACAACAGAACATCACCACATTACCTTGGCCAGCACTGAGTCCCGACCTCTCCCCCATCGAGCATGTCTGGGACATGCTTGGACAGAGGTTACGTCAACGTCAATAACGTCCTGCCAATGTCCAAGAACTTGCTGCTGCGTTGCAACAGGAATGGGACAATCTGGACCAAAATGACCTTAGACGTCTCATTAGGAGTATGCCACGTCGGATCAATGCTTGTTTGGCAAACAGAGGAGGATTTACCCGTTACTGACTTGGTTGTGATGCTGTGGTAACTTTGCTGTTTGACCCCGGGTATCATTTTACCCTTATAATGGTCAGTCTGTGCCTTACTTAGTCTAACGATCATTTGGAATAAATCGATGAATGTGAACTTCATTTCATTTTGTCATTTGTTTCTTCGTCAGTTTCATTAGGTGACTTTAATAACACTTAAAAATCAAATATCCCCTACTTTTTTTTAATAGTATAATACCATGAGTTAGGTATGTGTATTGTCAAGTTAACATGACCTGTAGTAAGTATAGTAAATCTGAGTAATAAAATTGAATGTAAAGTGGGTATAGGGGGTATAGCTAAGGAATAATAATAAGGAAACGGAATAGGGAATAAAATAAGGAATTAATGTTGTCTCCGGATCAAAGTGGGAAGATGGCAGAGCAAAGGATAGAGTTGGCATGTTTCTACTTTGATCCGTTAAAATGTATGTTTTTGTGTCGTTCATATATGTGTTTAGCCAAGTAGAGCTAATGTAATTTGGAGACTCTTAGTCCACGTTTCAGAATTATGGTTTTAGTCGAGTAAGACTAAATTAGGTAATTTAGCTTTTGAATAAAAGGTTAGATTGCTACAAATTTGTGTTATTGTGTGACCCATGTGTTCAGCTAAGTAGAGCTATTGTAATTTTGAGACCCTTAGTCCAAGTTTCAAAATTATGGTTATTTAACTTTTGAATAAAAAGTTAGGTTGTGTTAAAATCCCATGTGGTTAAATCTAGGGATGTAGGTATATTTTCCATTGGATAACTTTTTAGAAAAGTGATAGGTTATACGGTAAATTTTGTCCGTATAAAATTTTTTGTCATTAAATTTTGCTTTAGAATCGTAATATAAACGTTATATTTGCTAAATGCTATTTTGTGTCATTAATTAAATTTTGCTTTAAATTGTTCACGCGAGGTGATAAGGAATGTGTAATTTGACATGTCACATTGTACTCTTTTGTCTGGTTATTATAAACAATCGGTTCTAAATTTGACGTATGTGAAAGTCACGTGATTTCAGTGATGAGTTGAATGAAACTATATGTGTAATTAAAAGCTAGGTATAATTCTGATTGTCGTGTTTCTAAAATATAGACTGGTGTTCCGAGGGAATGAAGTGCACGTCACTTACTTTGGGACATATAAATTATAGTCTGGTATTGTCATAAGTTTGAGCTCAGCTTGTGTCAGTGTCAGTCTGATAGGAAATATTTATGTAATGTTGGGTAGTGTTTATAAAAAAACGAAATACAAATTTATAAATGATTAGGTGAAAAAGGTCACATTACTAACGGGAGAAATATAAAATAATAATGAAATTGTTTTGGCGGAATTCTAAAACAGAAACGGAAATTATAAAATTATCCATTACGGAGTTAAGGTCAAGAGGTCAAAGTTAGTTTGAAGATTTATAATTAAAGAGACACATCAAATGTTATTAATAATTAAATGAAGTTTAATTCATACTTAAACTGCATTAATAAACGGCTTGAAGGCATCATAAAGATTAATTGTTTAGGATAAACAAATTAATAAATCATGCGGCTTCATTCAAATGTTTAAATACCTGGGTAATTTTTATAAAGGCATTAACACTTTCTGTGGGGTGGGGGCTCCTACGTATAAAACTAATAAAGATTTAAATACCTGGGTATTTTTTTAAAACGGCATTGTCGAATCTATACTATGTCATTACTAATTCTAAAGTGTACATTAACACTTTCTGTGTTTGAAATTTGTTCCAGCTAAGAAATGAAACAAAATCTTGCTTTGTGCCACTGTCAAAGCGGTTGATTTAAAGTCCGAGCTGATTCAGATTTTCTAATAAATTAATATGTATAGTATTAGCTATTTCATAAAAATGTAGTCTTGCCTTACAGTAATGTGTATTTTTGCGTTTTTTAAATGATTAAAGTTCGAACGGATTCAGACATTTTAAAATTTAGTTATACGTTTGTTAATTCTAAGTCTGTAAAAAAAACTTTTATCATCTTGAACCGAGGTTTTTTAAATGCGGAATCTATGAAAGAAACACATGCAACGTGTAGGTTAAATAAGTGAAAGTTTTATAGCTACAGTAACCGTGATACAGGTTACATACACACGCTATACACACAATAATTACTCTTCATGCATCGCTAGTACATTCATTCACATAACTTCATCATCTGTCACCGACTCGTATCAATGAAATATAATGCCCATAGAATAATAACAATGTCATGTCCTAGAGTACGCTTTATATGGCTTACATTTAAAGGGTAACTCCCGCTATATATCCTCTTGGCTGATGATAGTTTCCATGTAGTAACAAGTATCGACAACGAGACGTGTACGTTGAAGACTATGGGGTTTTGGGTGACCGAGGCTACCACATTAAAAACCAAACTCCCGGTTACGCATGGACAATGGACTTTTCGTCAAATATTGACAACGGTCCCAGACCGTTGAAGATTAGGAGGTTCTGGGTGACCTAGACTAGACAAGCTCTAGTATAGAACATGAGAATGGTTTAAACAAGTATGAAACAAGTGCGCATGTATCAGACACAAGAGCTTTCCACGAAAGTTACTAACTGCATTCTAATAACAATGTTATCAATAAAGGCGTATGGCTCTATTCTTTGGAACCTTAAAATGGTCTAAATTGAATCTAAAAGCATACGTTAATGTAATACGCATCTATTCTATTTATATTCAATTTTAAAACTGTTATGGTAATTTCTGATCAATTGTTTTCGGTGAAATACATGAACAGTCCAAATTAAATGGCAGTCGTTAACGCCAACCTTGTCCATTCTAGGCGTTATTTTTATTAAAGATACATTATGGAAGATTCGGTAACGAGTTGGCAGTTCTCACTATAATAGTTAAAAACTAGATGAGGTAGAAGGCAATTTGGTGAAAATTTCATTCAAATTGATCCACTATGAACCGAGAACTAAGCGACTGAAATTCCCATAAGCCTCGGTCATCATTACTAAAGTCAGTACGATAAACAGCATAGTTTCGATTATCCATTTAATCGTTTAATGAGAAGGAAAGTTATGCAGTAAATCGGCTTACAATCCACTAAAGATCGCAGGCTAGCGCAGCCATCTAGAGTTGAGTATGGCCTGGATAGGTTAATTAATGTCTAATTAATAATTTAAATAACATTTCAGGCCTAAAGAAAGACCTGAAATAGGCAGATTTAGCTCTTGCATAATGCATGTTTAATTTTGACGTTTGTGAATCAGCCATTATTAATTACTTCTGCGTTGTCCTGTAGTATATGTTTTCTTTGTTCAATGCAAATCAGTGCCGGACTGGGCCCACCTGTCCACCTGTCCACCTGTCCGTGGCAGGTGGGCCTAAGCTCATTAAAAAAAGTGGGCCTAAGCCTATAAAGAAAAAATAAGAAAGAAAAAGACCTGAAGATTACTTTGGCTATCCTTGAAGCTAAAGAAATAATTTGTTACTTCTTAGAAAACAATTAATTATCAGTTATCATCACAGAAGTAAACAAATATCATCATAAGCTTGTGAGGTTCAGGGGCTTATGATGATATTCGTTTCACTTCTGTGAGTGCGAAGATTCTCGCTATATTCTGTGATGTGCGTCATCAGAAGTGTCAAATACGTGTACTGTATGTATAAATTATAATTTGCATTATTTTCATCACGGAGAATAAAAGGTTGCTTTTATGATAGTGCTCTTAGGTCATTCTGTTATCTAATTGTATCAGGAAATCAAAAATTTGCCTTCTTCTGCTTTGGTCTGATATGCTTGGAAAATGGATTTGCGGTTGTCAATTTCAAAATGTTCCTAAGGGGAGACCCCTCCCCACCCCCAGACGTTCGCGCGCCGAAGCACGTACTTGTGTGGGGCTTGGTGAATGACCTGACAGGTGGGCCTTTGGCCCTCCAGTCCGGCACTGATGCAAATGAAACCCCGAAACAGTAGAGTACACTACTCTTGTAGTGATTATAAAATATTCATTGTGTCTTAAATATTGGATATTAATATCAAATATTTCGAGATAAGATAACAACATCAATATTGAATTCTAATTTGTGTTTTTAATTTCGAATATTATATGGATAATATTGAGTTAGAGGTTTTGCTCCTTTAACATCGCAAAGAAAAGTGTACCTCCCATGATAGGCAATAATAAGGAGATGCATTTCATTTTGCAATAATATTTCAACAAACCACGATGGCCCAAACCAGATGCCAAATACGACATATAACCAATTCAGAATTAAATTGGGATATAATACAAATCAAATTTTAATTAGAAGGTTCCTGACGGCTAGCACTGACAGTGACGTAAACAGATCATCTCAACATTGTGCGTGCATGACAATGCGTACTGCCTGCATAACTAACATTTTCATTTTCCAGAACTAAATACATGTATAAAATTTATAACAACAAACTGAGTTTGAAATATGTCTTATATTTACGCTCTACCGATAACTTTGGCCTATCGACTTTAATATGAATCTGGTCTTTTGAAAGCTGGTAACAATAGACGCGTCGGTGTATCTAATATATATATATATATAGTTGCAAAACAAGTCTACGTCTTATTTCGAGCAGACGACACACAGACGTCACTTCAACTACTACCTGTTGTGAATGTACAATGAGGAAGTTTGGTATTTAGTCGTCTTGACTTTGCTATGTTGAGTAACAGATTTTATATACAGACATAATAGTAAGATTTTTATCAACATTTTTATCAAACATTTAATCATGGTGTGGTTGTAGAGACCGGATTGCCTAACTGGGTGCTAAAGATTATGAAGCCTGTCATAGTCTCCCCATGGTTTCAAACCCACGTTTTACGCGACAAGGCATATCATATCATGTCTCCACTGCCCTCGTTTGTTTGTTTTTCCGGATTATCTAGTTCCCCACTGCTAAACACCCCTGCGCACAAGTAAGTTATTGAATAACGTTTATCACTAGAAATGACTCGTCGTGGGATGACGCTACACCTATCTTTTGTTTTGTGTCAAGCCCTCGTAAGATTAGGCTATTTTATTTTTGTGTTATATCTTCGACCATCTTCAAATACTATAATACGTTTTATAGTGTGTGCAAGGCTGTGATTGCAATGAATCCATAGATTGCTTTAATAACTACATTATTAGCAGCGATTTATGCGGTGCAAGCTCCTGGTGAAGGTCGGCAGAGGCATAAACAACTAGGTCATTTCGGGACTAAAATGGAATATATTATTTCAAACATGGCATATTTGTATTTGAATAATTGGCTTTCATGTGCATGACGATTACCCACGAGTTGAAATGAAACGGTGTTAAACGTAACACTTTTCTATGTCAATCAGGACAAGTGAGACTGGCATATGCTATGAGTGAAATTGTGCCTTCTCTTTGTCAAAATCACCTGCCAAGGTCACTGGCAACTTGCCAAGGGTACTTTTTAGCGTTGGCACGATATATCGTTGAATCGATGTATTGCGATTCTTTTTTTATGTGTTTTGTTGCTTAAACACACATTATGCAAGAGCTAAATCTGCCTATTGCAGGTCTTTCTTAAGGCCTGAAATGTTATCTAAATTATTAATGAGGATTAGGTTTCGATTTGCTGTTCGACTTCCATTCATGATTTAATCATGTAATGGATAATCGAGACTATGTTTTTATCGTACCGACTTGAGTAATGATGATCGAGGCTAGTCCGAAAACTCAATCGCTAAAATCTCGGTTCAGAGTGGATAAGTTTGACTGAATTTTCAGCAAACTCCCTTTACATTATCTAGTTTTTAACTATTATAGTGAGAACTGTCAGATCTTTATCTAATCTCCCATAATGTATCTTTAAGGAAATAACCAGTCACTCCTAATTATCCATGTTACACAGACATTATCCATAAGTACACAATCATTCTTGAATTATTTTGGTCCTTACTTTGATCCACATCACTATCGTGATATAAAACAGTTTTATTTCTTAGACATCGGCAGAACTAAAAATATCAATTATTGTTATGAATCGTAATTCGAATCGTATCGTAGTACCTGAATCGCAATACGTATCGTACTACAGCAGCAGTACCCGGCACTAGTTCTTTTACGTGTTTACAGCCAACATGTGCGCAGGTTCTCGTTGCCCCAATAGACTGAAAAATAGACTTGTCGGAAATGCTCTACAACATGAAAGTTTATGACTGAGTGTGGATGTGGGATTTATTCACAGTAGAAGGTATTGATTACCGAAACGTATCACAAATACTTTTTGTTATTTTCTAAAATTATTGGGGGGGGGGGGCAAACAGAGGGCAGACCAGATTAATGGGGGGGATGCCGCCCCCCTTGCCCCCCCCCCGGCGCCGCCACTGGGTACGGATAAACAATATCAGGGGAGATCTGATCGAAGAATATTGCGGATTAAAGCCACGTAACTAATTAGATAGCACATTATATTGTCATATGTCATCTATACTAATATTTGTGACTGTCGTTTGTCTGTCTGTTTGTTTGGTTGTCTGTCTGTCTGTCTGTTCGGGGTTGGCGGCTACACTAGGTCTGCCCCGAGTCTGAAATTTGGGGTATAGGGGTAGCTCGGACCGGGGAGTAACATAGGCCAGGTGGCGTTAGTCTACCACTTCCGGTTTCGGGGTTATGACCCCCCGGGCGAAGCCGGGCATTCTTCTAGTATCGTAATTTTAAAAACGCATTTTGTAAGATCTGAATAAAGAGTTGGCTGTTCTTGCAATAATAGTTCAAATATAGATGATGCAAAAATGAATGTATTGTAAATTTCATTCAAATAACTTGATTCTGAGCGACGTTTTGACAGTTTGAAGATGTAGCGTGGATCATTCCGATTATTGTTAAATTATTAAATCACGTGGGTGTTGAAATCCATTTAAATCTCGATCACCCGATGTTCTAGAAAGGCTTGTCGTGTTAATAAATGTCTAAATAATAATTTATATGATTTGAAGTCAGACAAAAGACCTGCAAAAGGCAGATTTAGCTCTTACAAAATGCACCATTAATTAAACATTCACAACACAAGGGCTAAGGCAATTATTTACGCCCATGATATTTGTATTAAAGACGGCAGGACTTATATTGAAGCTCAGTATTACAATGAATGAATGAATGAATGAAATGTGGTTTTATGGCACGTCAGCTCCAACCGGGCTATATTGCGCCAAACATATGGTGAAAAATTCAAGACAAAATAAAGGAAATCACAGAAATATATTTATATCCATAAATAAAAACAAATATCACAGATAAAATATAAAGTTAAAAATAAATATCAAATACTTTATGAATATAAACAATTAAAATGAAAGAAGATAGGATACATATATATATATACAGTTAAAACTTATAATAAAATTTTGTCTCTTTTAAAAAGTTTAGTATCTCACAATATAGCTCCGGTTGAGCAAATAAATGATGTAATGTCTGGCAACGGTAAAATTTAGATCTAATATTTCCAAGATACTTGCACTCGATCAAAATGTGCTTCACTGTCAAAGGAATATGACAGTGTTCACATTCTGGTTGAGGTTCTCGTTTCAAGATGAAAAAGTGAGTTAAAAAAGTATGACCAATGCGAGAGCGACACAAAACAACTTCATCCCTCCTGTTGGTTCTATAGGAGCTTGGCCAGTCTCCTAAGAGAGGCTTGATATGATGAAGTTTATTTGTGCCTGCAAAAACCCAAGACCGTTGCCAGCGGTCATAAATAAAATGATTTATACATGCTTTAAAATCTTTATATGGTATTAAAAAAGGTGATTGGGGAAGATCTAAAGCAGCTTTGGCAGCAAAATCTGCTTGATCATTCCCCCTTATATCAACGTGACTGGGGAGCCAGCAAAAGACAATGTCCTTGCTGCTCAACTCGTAAGATAGTAGCAGACGATAAACATCTGCTACTAATGGGTGTTCAAGCTGTTTATTGTTAATTGCTTGAAGCAAGGACAGAGAATCAGTAAAGATGATGTGCTGTAGTAAATGTGATGATTGAATGAACTCCAAAGCCTGAAGAATGGCCTGGAGCTCAGCTGTAAATATTGAAGCAGCAGGTGGAAGACACACAGAAATAGTCTCAGTTGGCGTCACTGTAGCCGAAGCCACCCGATCACCATCTTTAGAGCCATCTGTGTAAATAGGAGCATAATCACCATATTTAGACCTTAGCTCTCTAAAAAGAGATTGGAACACCGTCGAGCTAGTATCTCTCTTCTTATGTTGAGTAAGATCGAAATCGATCTTTGGGAGAGATATAGCCCACGGCGGAGACCTAAAGAAAGGGGTATTCGCAATACTGTCAAGGCTGATACCAGCCTCCGACATGAGGGGTTGTATGCGAATACCGAATGATGGAATAACCTTAGTCTTTCGCAGATATAAATGCTCATGATAAGGTCTAAATATGGTATTATATGAAATATGATTTGGAAGTGATGCAATTTTCGTAGCATACTGCAGGGCAAGCTTATCACGTCTGTTGTGCAATGAGAGCTCGTGCGCCTCGACGTATAAACTTTCCACTGGAGATGTACGAAATGCTCCTAAACTGATTCTAAGTCCCTGGTTGTGTATGGTGTCGAGCTCTTTGAGATAAGACTCGCGGGCAGACCCATACACAATACACCCATAATCGAGTTTTGATCTTATTAATGCTCGATATAATCTGAGCAAGACCTTACGGTCTGCTCCCCAGTCAGTATTTGATAAGACTCTCAATATGTTGAGGGCTTTCAGACATTTCTTTTTTAGGTTTTTAATGTGGGGGATAAATGACAATTTCTTATCAAATATCAGCCCCAGAAATTTGGTTTCATCCACAACTGGAAGGCGGTTGCCATCCAAATAAAGTTCTGGATCTGGATGCAAACCTCGTTTCTGACAGAAATGCATGCAGACAGTCTTGGATTTCGAAAAACGAAATCCATTTTCGGTTGCCCATTGTTGAAGTGAATTCAAACAAAGCTGCAACTTACGTTCGACTATCCGCATGTCTGTAGAACCATAGCACATCTGAAAGTCATCAACATAAAGAGCGCCGTTTGTACCTGGTTTAAGGCACGCTGGGATAGTAGTATTACAATGAAGATAAATACCAAAACGATTTGTGAGAGGGGAATAACTAGTGTTTTCTTTGCGATTTAGGGTAGTTTTCTCCGCCCCCTCCCCATCCACTGTTAAAGCCCGCTTACGCTCGAACGAATTATCGAAATACGATTGCACCATTGTGTTGAGCGGTACCAATTTATTTTTGATTTTGATATATAGTGTTAACGATCTAATTTGTTGTGTCTTTAATAAATTTCTGGACAGTCTGGATACTTTCGGGTTATGTGCTATATGTGTCATGACATTATGACAAATGCATACATTTTCATAACTGTTAAAATTTATGCTTGGCTGGTTTTCTTGCGTTAAAATAATTATAAAAGGATGTAATAAAGTATATTTATCATTATGACAAACACCACAGTGTTATACTGATTTTTTTCAACCAATATCACCTTGATAATATAGTCACTTGAGTATTGGATTACACATTTTAAAACAACACGTGCCGAATAGTAGCCTTGAACGAAAGCTACTGAGAACGTAGGTCTACTCTTATTTTGTGATGTGAATGCAACCTTTGGATATTTTTTCGTTTGTATCCACAAAGAATACCTAAATAACATATAACATGTACACAATGTCAGCGAGGCCATTCTTCCATTAATAATAGGGTAATATAATCTTCTTCTTAAAATTCCCAGTTAAAAGCGCCTCAACACGAACTAAGCTCTGTTTCTCTTGTCCTTTATGTTTATATTGAGTAACACGCTTTGGTCATTTTGGAAGTAACATATGGTGTGCTGTTTCAACTGCCAAGGGTTATTTTACGTGCACATGATTGTTCTCATTTGTTTGTCCCATCTGAACGACCACACACATTTAGCCCGACAGGCACCACCCCTAACAAGTAACTGTAAGGTTCGAAAATTCCTGTGGGTTCTGCTTTTTGGTCCTCTGCTTTCATCGAAATACTAAGTTGATTATATAAATACTTAATATTATTAAAACACATTTAACAGTCCAATATTTACATAAGTCTATAAATACAAATAATGATGTACAATCATTTTAATAAATTATATACTTATCCCACAAATTGTGGTAATTTCCATTACCATATGCAAACCGTACAATTATATACCTATATCACAGAATGTGGTAATATTCATTACGATATACAAATCATACAATTTATTATAAACCTATATCACAGATTGTGTTTACATCCATTACGATATACAAATCATACAATTATATGCCTATATCACAGAATGTGGTAATGTCCATTATGAAAAACAAATATCGATTAACAATAATTAATACACATGATAATTAAAGCTAGTAATTTCAGCCATAGCCATTCAGTTTATAGATTTGTCTTAGCAAAGTCTTTTAGAAATGGAATAATTTCGACCAAATTTAGACGGCCAATGCCCATGGCTGCTCAAAAGCTACAGTCATTACTATTGCATGGTACAGCAATACAAATTCAAACGAACGAAATATTAATAATATGCGTATGGGCTATATACGATCTACTAATGATTGTTTCTGATTTTTTATGTAACCTCTACTATCCATATAACACCGCGGCGCGTTGAGTCGAACTGTATTCAAAAGTTAATAGTTCTAATAAGAAAGCTCTTTTAGAGTGTTGCCGCGATAAAAGCCGGGGGTCAAAGACACGAAAATTTATCGAAGTAATATTTTAGGAAGTAAAACCACCAATGACACTTGTGGGAATTATTCCTTATTTAACATAAAACTAAATTAATGCGCATATTTTTGCTGTACTTACAGAAGTCATAAATTGTTATCAGATCTCGATATCTATAATTTGTTGTGTTCAGGGTCTGTTGAACATTATAAAACGTATGTGTATAAAACGAATATTAAAGTTACAGAATAAACCATAAAAAGATAGTATCTTCTACTAACAAATTGTTAAAGGGGCTATCCCGATTTGAACAGAGTTTCAAAAATAAAAGTCTGAGTACGTATGAAATGTAAGCGCCAAAATATAGAGGAATGGTGTATTTACCTTGTCTCAAAATTTCAGCTCAATATATTGAGTTGTTTGGACGTGAACGTCAAAATTCCTTATCCGGACACGTAACCCTTTTAAGATTTTGGCTCAATTTTTTCGTTGGGTGACCTGATAATCGACGCCCGTTCCTTTAGAGGTCTCTACAATGAATGACCCATGTGCTGTACTTGATAATGAAAGGTAAATTTCACCTACACATTATTTTTATAAAATAAAAGTCTGGTTTTATGCAGACACCGCATAATACAGCTTGGGACACTGGTCTCCATTTCAAGATAAAGACTGACGGGTTTAAGTTGTTTGGAAACGTATCACATATTTAATATGTTGAGTTAGTTGCTCGGCCCTAAGGTAGAGGATTTTAAGGGATTTTAGCCCTTTAAAGAGATATTTCGTCATTTTTTTCAGTTGATGTTCTTTAAAGCTTGCATACACATACCATGTGAGGCTAATTTAAAATTAGTATGGAACAGTGATGATGGGGGACCTTGGGGGGGGGGGGTCTCGCTTCGACCTCTAGCTGGCCGGTCAAATCTGGCTTAATGCGGTTGTGGTTTTGATCCCTGTTAGCGTATGTGGTATGAAGATATGGGCGCCTTCTCAACCTCGTGGGTTTGCTCCGGGTACTCCCGTTTCCTCCCACAGGAAAGACCCATGCGCGTGCGCTAATATAATAGATATAGAAATAAGACAACTAATCTGTGACGATAATGCAGCTCCTATGGCATGTCGAACATGATAAAGTAATGAATATAAGACAACTGGTCTGCGACATCACCTTCGGTGGAAACGGACGTTAAACACTAAGAACATCAACAACAGTGACGATGTTGTCCTGTTGTCACAGGTCTATCTCCTTTCATTATTCGTTGATTTGATACAAACTTTGCTTGATTCTTTTAAAATATGATAATATAAAACATGTCATGACGATCGCGATTAAATACGTCACTTCGCGTGATTAAACGCGGGAAACCCCAAAGAAGCATACTATTTGATGGGCCACAAAAAGGTGGATAAGTCTCATACACCTAGTTTTCAACGTACAGGGGAACTACTGGATGAGTTGTCCACATTTAACGAAATATTACTGGATAATCACCCACATAAAAAAAACCTGCTGGTTACGCATGGACAATGAAACTTTTAGCTAAAGTCGAGAAAGAGTTCTACCCCTTCCCGAAATAAATTCCACATTTCATACAAACATGAATCGTGACGACGAATTAGGGTTAATAAAACATAGATATAATCCTAGTATTATGTACACTAATCCTAGTGTTGTTCAAGAAAGTTTCCCGGTATTTTAGTGTGGTTTCTCCCTATCTGTAGCGCAGGACGGGGGCCTGGCAAAGAACAGTATCTAGTTGTGTACATAGGAGAAAAAACTCAAGCTCTTGTGTCCAGTTAAATTGTCGTGATGTAGGATTATCGCCACATGAAGGTTGACATCACGACATGTTACCAATCAACCACCATGTTATTGAAACTTTTATCGTTTTATGTAACAAATTCTCAACAAAAATATTGTGACTCACATTATATGTATATGTGTCTAATTAATATGTTGTTATTTTAAATGTCATATAGTGACAGGCATAATGACGGACATAAAAATGATATATTTCATCCGAATAGCGTGTGTAACGGGGCCCGTTAAATATTAGTTCTTGCGAAATTACAGACATCTTCAAGATTATACTACCCGACAACAATGTTTATAATAATATGGCTCGTTCTGTTTCGCGTGTAGGAACAGATAATATGTATAATGAATATCAATCTGTCGATCATGAATTGTGTTGTCGAGCTTTGCAAGCGATGATTTGTATAGGGTTGTATCGCGAACACCTGCCTATTACCACTTCTCATTTCAGGAGTCTACATGGCTAACAAATCCGTGTTTTATTTCAACATGCCCACTACCCTGTAACTTTTGCCAAGGGGTGTAAGACCGATTTTGACTGGCATATTTTTGTGCAATCTAACCCGATTCGCCTGATTTGCATATATATCATTTTGATGATGCCAATGGGAATTGGGCATAGTCTTGACACTTAGAGCATTGCAATTTATGTAACTTTCATGTATGTTGATATCTGTCATATATTTATTTTGCAGGTGGGAGATTTCCGTGTAACGATCAAGCATGTTTTCTTTAACCAGAAGGAGTAAACGTCCCTATTTATTATGTCTAGCCCTTGTTTTGTTATTCCTGGTGTCAGCACAACTCAGCCTTAAGTCATCTTCCAAAACAATACGTGTTAGTGACCCAGAAAATTTCGGTGCTCTATTTGGTTCTGGACACAGAAATAGTTTTTTGAAAATGCAAAACTACCATAATATGGCGATGGATGATCCGGAATTGCTGAAACTAGTGAAATCCTCGATTTTTCAATATCCTTCAAGCTCTACTTACAATTTGAGCGACACATCAATAATGGATTTTTCAAGAGGTCAAAGCCGTAACATTGACAAGGCAAATGGCCAAAAGGTTTGTACTTTGTCACCATTATCATGGACCTTATAATATAAGGTCCATACCATTATACATTACCAAAAAAGCCTGGTTCCGAGTTCATAAAGCATTCTCAGACTTAAGTTAAGACTGTCTGGTGCATCTTACTGTCCATTTACGTTGCGGTTTGGACATTTACGCCTTGTCAGTGTAGTTACTGAATGGCTGGTGAATTTTACTATCCATATTATGGTTAACATTGGTTTGAAAGGCGAATACTTAATCAATAATCCACATTCATAATAGGCTAGTCTCGTTTAATTGGGTTTATGATTATAAAGAAAATCTGAAATAACGACTTCATTTATGGTTGATGGCTATGAAAGAGTCACCCTAAATGGGTGTATTGAACCAACACATCATGTTTTGTGTCTGTGTCATACTAAAGACGCTCTAGTTTATATCAATACATTGACAAGTACAATGGGAAGAGAGTGCAAAACAAACTCATGCTTGATCTTTAAAAATTGGTTTAATTTGTCTAGGAATTATTTACTGCTGGTTAGCGTATTAGATCCCCAGACACCCTGAAGTCTCGGTACCAACTGAACATTCTCTGTTGCAAAGTATTTCAAAAACAAACTAAAACAATAGAATAATCATTCATGAACACAGCAGAACAAGTTGTGTGTTTATGATAACTTTCAGAATCTTAAAGTCTTGACACTCACAGTTCTTAATTAAAGGACTCGTATTTGTAATAAAATATGTATGATATGTGTACATGTGCAGTGAAAGACAAAGGTCGGCTACATGATAAATAATATCTTCCCGGACCTGACATCTCCTCTTCTGAACATAATGTGATCCTGTTTAGTCTTAACACGGTGTGACCCAAAGTCTAAACATTACGTAATCATCGACTCGCCCTGTTTTGTCTGGAAACGGCACTGTCTTCTTTAGTTTGCAAATGATATTGTTTTGGTTTACACGTAACTCGCCACTTTTTATTTTAGCCTAAAACCAATATTCCTGAACATGGTAATGCGACACCGTTTAGCCTAGTCACATTTAGTATAAACGATTCCGCACTTATGCAACAAAATAAGCTGCCTAAAATCATCAAACGACAAGTGATATAAGTTGTTCTTGAAATAGTAAGCATACCCCGACTCATGCAAGATACCCGTTACTGCTTTAACATAACATGGCCGTGGGGTCAAAGGCCACCTGCAGTGTCAACACCACAGAGGTTTAAATTCAAAAATAAACCCAAGAAGTGTTAGTTCTGTGGTCTACTAAAGAGAAGAATTGGCATCAGGTATTCTAGAAAGAATATCCCACCTAGTACTTATATTATGCTACAGCTGCTATTCAATTTAACCATAATAATAACTTAATGGTATTTTATTTAACATAATGATGTGTGGATTCAAATATAAAATATTAATTTTACGTTTTACACATAAGTGATTATCTGGACATGGTCAGTTGAGCATAACAAATGATTTCATTGAGTACCAAACAATCACAATATACTTGAGTGAACCTTTATTTCTGTAATAAACAAGAAATCACTGACAAACTTTATTTTAAGTTTATACATAGTTTAAGTACATCTAAATCTATAGATAATAATCAACGAAAGTTTTAGCACACGCCGTTTTGTAGAAATTATTTCATGTCTACTGGACTGTTAAGAAACATAATAAAGAGACGTGGACAAACTTTTGTAAAACTGATTTAAATTCTGATTTTTTTCTGTGTGTGTGTGTTTTTATTTGTTGTTTTGCATAAGAGTGGTGTGATGGGGTTACGGGCAGCTGTTATTTTGTGCATTATCGAGGCACGTCTTCATTAGTCTGGTTGGTGCAGAAAAGTAAGACGTTAAACCCTATTTAATTTCATTTAATTTCTTTTATCCAGGAACGGGGTTATTTTGTTGATATTGGTGCTGGCAATGGAGAAACAGGATCCGTATCTCTATATTTTGAACGTGAAAGACACTGGACGGGTTTGCTGATAGAGCCTAGTTTAGAGTTGTATAACCAAATGATCAATAAACATCGCCAGGCTGTAACGGCTAACGTATGCGTTAGGGTATGTAGACTTTGGAAGAATTCAAACAGAATATGTATTTAGAAAATGTATTTTGTTTATATATTTGAATGTTTTCTGGATATTTGCGGGTAAACAAGAGGGAGGGGGGGGGGCTGGACTGGGCTGGACTGGACCAGAAGGTCCCGGAACCGGTTTAGCTCATTGCCTAATTCATTTTTAATATCAATAACATTCTCCAATGCTAGTTACCCAAACAATAAATAAATTCAAAACGACGAATATAATGAATTGGCACATCATGTTATGAAGAGATAGGAAACTTAATAACACAGAGGTGCTTCATAATTTGCAAGTATACACTTTAAACAAATCGACCTAAGCATGAGAAATTTAGAAGTAACATAATATGCAATTCATTATTTATTAGACCTAAGTAGAAATAAACATATTAACAAGAAGAGTCTTGCAGAAATGCAATCAAAAAAAGTGAAACAAGATAATAAATCAACTTCCGACTGTTAAATCCACTGTACGATTTATTATTTTGTATTATTTTCTTTTTCAGATAAATGCCACTTTGGATGGCAGATTTTTAAAAGACCCAACCACTACAAACGTGACACCATGTTTATGGTTAAAAACGTTACTAGAGGCAACAGAAAGAACGGAAATCGACCTTTTAAATATAGATGTAAAAAATGAAGAGCTCAACTTATTAAAAACGGTTCCTTTTGATCAAATTAACATGAAGTTTATCTCCATAGCAATTTCAATGGAAATGCCAAAAAGTGGCGTTTCGGACATTATTACTTTTTTAGGTGGTATGGGATTCAATGCAAATACTCAATTTGATAACCATGTTCAACACACACGGGATATTGTGTTCGAACATAAATAAGTTGCGTTGTAAGGTGACCTTGCATTAATACCCTTTTGTGCCACTCAAATGTTCCTATCAGAAAATAAAGTTGGATACAGTTTAATAATATGATGCTGTGGATTATAACTGGTTATTCAATAGAATCAACTCGTCTTAGACCCATGCCATTTATACCCGGAGTGGATGTCGATCAGCAAAAGCGTGAATTAGCCTCAAAAGTGTGTGTCAATGGCAGGAAACTATAGTTCAGAGACACCCCTTTGATGGCATCTATATGTGTCACAGACAATTAAATTATCAAAGTAAGTTGTTGGTTTTATCGCGCACTACCAGCCTTTCAACTTTTAAATAAAAATTCATGCAGGTAACGGTTGCATTAAATTAAAACGTGGGTGATAACTAGGGTGTAAGTGTATCCGCTGGTTGATAATAGTCAATATACAACTGGCGGTAGTTTTTCTTTGATGTCCATAGCAGTTATATCTCATAACAACCTGTCATGACGTCATCATAGGTTGATATAATTACTCGGTTCATATCAACCGCTGATGACGTCATGACAAGTTGATTTTTTTTTATAAACAATACTTTTATTCAGGATGTCTGAATGGGATTGGGGAACAGGCTTAGCCTATGTAAAACCCCTCTCCCTAGATACATAGTATTAAAACAAAGGAACAAAATGGGTGTACATGTATATACACAGTTAAAATGACAAACACATACATATATAAGTGTAAATACATATAATGAGATGGATGGAGAATGTATAATATATACTATATGTTACATTGTTACGTAAATTTAAAATTAATATTGTAAATTAAACAACTAGTAAGCGAGATTAAAATCTGTTTGACATATCAATAAACTTGTGGACTTGGTTAAAAATGTTGTTGTTTACATCGATACAGAGGGTTGAGGACCCGAACAGAAGACAATTAATGTTTCTGAGGTCGTATTGTAGTTTGTCTATGGTTCCTTTCGTGTATTTGAATATAAAGAGCATTGCAAGGGGTAGTGATCAGGATCTTAAAAAATGTGACCACGGAGGCATGCGGGGCTGTCAGCAACATGTCGGAGGTATTTGTGGCCCTGTAGGTCAGAACATCGAAGTCTAAGTTTACTATGGATTATCTGGAGTTTCCGCTGACCATTATAGTAAAAATATGGAATTTTTTATATCTGATTTGGAGAGATGGTCGGAGAATATTTTAAGAGTTCTTGAGTTTTTTACATGGCTGCTGAGTTTATTCCCCTCTCTTATACTAGATGGGATAAATGATTTAGAAATATTTCAGTACGACATCGAATTTCTTTTATTTTATCTGCATTTCGAAATGAATATGTACTTGTTGTTCCAGATTTATGAGATTCTTAAGATAGGGATTAGTAAGGTTATTTATAAATTTGTATAGTAATTTTACTATGTGTCGATTTCGTCGTTCTTTGAGTGGAATAAACCCAGTTTCTGCGTAGAGGGAAGCGTGGCTAGTACCCACAAATAGTGCGTAGTGCATCAAGCTGAAGGGATTCTAGATGACCTGGCGCCTGGTACGTTCGGGCATTTTTATGCGCGAACTCTTAGGTTTTTTTTACTGGCATGCGCACAGGTACTATTTCTTTTTCTTTTAACAAGTACCCAAATCGGGGATTTCGTGCGGAGGTAGTTCGGAGGTAAACAGTCTGTGAAGTACAACACTTGCCACTGTACCTGTGTATCGCTAATTATAAACCGAATGTGTGAAGACAGTTCATACATATCACTCAAAAATTTTTCAGTACAAACTCAGTTGATTCACGCTCGATTTGCTACTAAACAAACCCATCGGTTTATTTTCTCAACAGTGTGACCCGAAGTGACCGCGGATTTATTGACCTTGTATGAACTTATCCATAGCTATATCCTTACACCGAGAGAAATTATCTAGTCTCGGTGAAAATAACCATTGTCATCTGGTAGAAAATTACTTTTGTATATTTTGGAACGGAAAACAGTGTTTTTAGAAGCAAACTAACCTGCCGCACGTGAGGAAGTCATTATACTAATAATAAAAGGCGAGACCTCTTTTTGCGGCGCAGGCTTATCACTGAGTAGTAAACCGTCCACAAACAATAATATAGGAAGCCTAGTGACGTGTGTAGTAAGTCGGCTATAGACTATAGGTTTGAGTCGAGATTACTCGCGTTCAGTTTACTCTGTTTTTGCGATAACCAATTATGTGAGAAATACCATACTGACATTCGGTTTTTAAAAGTTGTACGCCAACTAAATGCGTTTGTTAGATACTGACAGAGCAGCCCCGAGTCGAACAATCGCCGCCCGAGCTGTCTTCGTCAGCTAGTTTCACAATATCGTGCAATAGGTGTATTAATGTGATTTTTAGGTTTAACCCCGCAAACAATGCCAAAATAGTGTTTTCACTGCTTACAGAAAACTGAAATTTAAAAAAAAATTTTTTTATGAGGGTGACCCTCCCACACACTCCCTATCGAGCTGCCGCTCGGTCTGCGCAGCCTCATGCCTGGCACATACTGTCAACATTGTATATTTTTCCGTTTCCGCCCTCCCCCCCCCCCCCCACAATATATATTTCACGGCTACGTTGCGACGGTACCAGCATACCCAGTTGTTGACACCCATTACATCACTCCTGTCTAACAAATCATAAAGCTGTGGTGTTACGGTGGCGGCATAGTATTTCACCGTAACACCACAGCCACTCTAACCATTCATAATACATCTAACTATCCCTTTACAGCACTTCACTCCCTACACATTTCCCCTCGTCCTACTTTCCCAAACGTCAACAACACATCTCATACATCCAGTTCGCTGATTAACCCTTGTACCACGTCTACTGGATGACCTGGCGCCTGGTACGTTCGGGCATTTTTATGCGCGAACTCTTAGGGTTTTTTTTACTGGCACGCGCACAGGTACTATTTCTTTTTCTTTTAACAAGTACCCAAATCGGGGATTTCGTGCGGAGGTAGTTCGGAGGTAAACAGTCTGTGAAGTACAACATTTGCCACTGTACCTGTGTATCGCTAATTATAAACCGAATGTGTGAAGACAGTTCATACATATCACTCAAAAATTTTTCAGTACAAACTCAGTTGATTCACGCTCGATTTGCTACTAAACAAACCCATCGGTTTATTTTCTCAACAGTGTTACCCGAAGTGACCGCGGATTTATTGACCTTGTATGAACTTATCCATAGCTATATCCTTACACCGAGAGAAATTATCTAGTCTCGGTGAAAAGAACCATGGTCATCTGGTAGAAAATTACTTTTGTATTTTTTGAAACGGAAAACAGTGTTTTTAGAAGCAAACTAACCTGCCGCACATGAGGAAGTCATTATACTAATAATAAAAGGCGAGACCTCTTTTTGCGGCGCAGGCTTATCACTGAGTAGTAAACCGTCCACAAACAATAATATAGGAAGCCTAGTGACGAGTGTAGTACTGTAAGAAGGCTATAGACTATAGGTTTGAGTCGAGATTACTCGCTTTCAGTTTACTCTGTTTTTGCGATAACCAATTATGTGAGAAATACCATACTGACATTCGGTTTTTAAAAGTTGTACGCGAACTAAATGCGTTTGTTAGATACTGACAGAGCAGCCCCGAGTCGAACAATCGCCGCCCGAGCTGTCTTCGTCAGCTAGTTTCACAATATCGTGCAATAGGTGTATTAATGTGATTTTTAGGTTTAACCCCGCAAACAATGCCAAAATAGTGTTTTCACTGCTTACAGAAAACTGAAATTTAAAAAAAAAATATTTTATGAGGGTGACCCTCCCACACACTCCCTATGGATGACCTGGCGCCTGGTACGTTCGGGCATTTTTATGCGCGAACTCTTAGGTTTTTTTTACTGGCACGCGCACAGGTACTATTTCTTTTTCTTTTAACAAGTACCCAAATCGGGGATTTCGTGCGGAGGTAGTTCGGAGGTAAACAGTCTGTGAAGTACAACATTTGCCACTGTACCTGTGTATCGCTAATTATAAACCGAATGTGTGAAGACAGTTCATACATATCACTCAAAAATTTTTCAGTACAAACTCAGTTGATTCACGCTCGATTTGCTACTAAACAAACCCATCGGTTTATTTTCTCAACAGTGTTACCCGAAGTGACCGCGGATTTATTGACCTTGTATGAACTTATCCATAGCTATATCCTTACACCGAGAGAAATTATCTAGTCTCGGTGAAAAGAACCATGGTCATCTGGTAGAAAATTACTTTTGTATTTTTTGGAACGGAAAATAGTGTTTTTAGAAGCAAACTAACCTGCCGCACATGAGGAAGTCATTATACTAATAATAAAAGGCGAGACCTCTTTTTGCGGCGCAGGCTTATCACTGAGTAGTAAACCGTCCACAAACAATAATATAGGAAGCCTAGTGACGAGTGTAGTACTGTAAGAAGGCTATAGACTATAGGTTTGAGTCGAGATTACTCGCTTTCAGTTTACTCTGTTTTTGCGATAACCAATTATGTGAGAAATACCATACTGACATTCGGTTTTTAAAAGTTGTACGCGAACTAAATGCGTTTGTTAGATACTGACAGAGCAGCCCCGAGTCGAACAATCGCCGCCCGAGCTGTCTTCGTCAGCTAGTTTCACAATATCGTGCAATAGGTGTATTAATGTGATTTTTAGGTTTAACCCCGCAAACAATGCCAAAATAGTGTTTTCACTGCTTACAGAAAACTGAAATTTAAAAAAAAAATTTTTTATGAGGGTGACCCTCCCACACACTCCCTATGGATGACCTGGCGCCTGGTACGTTCGGGCATTTTTATGCGCGAACTCTTAGGTTTTTTTTACTGGCATGCGCACAGGTACTATTTCTTTTTCTTTTAACAAGTACCCAAATCGGGGATTTCGTGCGGAGGTAGTTCGGAGGTAAACAGTCTGTGAAGTACAACACTTGCCACTGTACCTGTGTATCGCTAATTATAAACCGAATGTGTGAAGACAGTTCATACATATCACTCAAAAATTTTTCAGTACAAACTCAGTTGATTCACGCTCGATTTGCTACTAAACAAACCCATCGGTTTATTTTTTCAACAGTGTGACCCGAAGTGACCGCGGATTTATTGACCTTGTATGAACTTATCCATAGCTATATCCTTACACCGAGAGAAATTATCTAGTCTCGGTGAAAAGAACCATGGTCATCTGGTAGAAAATTACTTTTGTATTTTTTGGAACGGAAAACAGTGTTTTTAGAAGCAAACTAACCTGCCGCACATGAGGAAGTCATTATACTAATAATAAAAGGCGAGACCTCTTTTTGCGGCGCAGGCTTATCACTGAGTAGTAAACCGTCAACAAACAATAATATAGGAAGCCTAGTGACGAGTGTAGTAAGTAGGCTATAAACTATTCGGTTTTTAAAAGTTGTACGCGAACTAAATGCGTTTGTTAGATACTGACAGAGCAGCCCCGAGTCGAACAATCGCCGCCCGAGCTGTCTTCGTCAGCTAGTTTCACAATATCGTGCAATAGGTGTATTAATGTGATTTTTAGGTTTAACCCCGCAAACAATGCCAAAATAGTGTTTTCACTGCTTACAGAAAACTGAAATTTAAAAAAAAATTTTTTTATGAGGGTGACCCTCCCACACACTCCCTATCGAGCTGCCGCTCGGTCTGCGCAGCCTCATGCCTGGCACATACTGTCAACATTGTATATTTTTCCGTTTCCGCCCTTCCCCCCCCCACAATATATATTTCACGGCTACGTTGCGACGGTACCAGCATACCCAGTTGCTGACACCCATTACATCACTCCTGTCTAACAAATCATAAAGCTGTGGTGTTACGGTGGCGGCATAGTATTTCACCGTAACACCACAG